AAAAATCCTTAGCTTATAAGTTAGAGACTATCAAATTTTACCTGCCTTGTCCCCAAAAAAGCACACTTCCAAAAGTGGATTCTTAACAGTTATGATGTATGTAAGCTTGTTGCTTTAACTGCACTGCTTAAATCACTTCTAACATGTTGAACATGAAAATTTTTCTTCTTCTTTTGTCAAATATTTTATGAATTCTGCAGGCAGTTGTGAACTTCAGAAATCTCTGGAAGTTATAGATGAGTGGTATTTAATGTACAGTAAATTATGTTTGACCTTAGCTAAAAAGATTGAACCTAATATTTTTGGAATATGATAAACATCTTCACAATTTGTACAAAGCAAAATTACTGCATTTGCTAGAAATTCACTTTTGTGGGTTTGTTATAATAAATGGCTGAATGTAGAAGTACGAAAGGATATGCAATTTGATTGTGATCAGTGAAAGTATCTTTAATTTTTCTTTCTAAAACGTGCTTATAGAAATTTTATATCAAATAGACTGAAGTTATTGAGATGTTTCTTTAAATTTCCAAACCATGTGCAACGTTTTTGTTACTTTGTATATTTCATTATTAGGTATAGAATGTCTGGTTTGCAGACCCTTTTTAATACCTGAAGTGTGAGGTTTTTATATATATTAAGAGTTGAAACACCATGTAGTTCAGCTTATAAAAGAATCTTTCTCTGTTTCTGAACCCACTGTGTTCAGAAAAAGACTGTTTCCCTCTTCTAACAGAAATTTCTGTGGAAAGCACATGTTTTTCCCACTTTTATTTCCAGTATTTTCAATTTTTTTTTTTATGAGGGTTATTAATATCTTCAGGTATGTTCAGTGTTGCAGAAATAGAATGATAATTGTAAAAGATACTGTTGATGCCCTTTAAAATATATAACCTATATGTAGCTATATACAGTCTTAAGAAAAAAATAAAACTTCAGAGTGGACTTCACATGATCTAGCATGTTTGTCAAGTGTTGTTTTTTCCCCTCAGGACATATATTCAGAACACCTGGGGATCAGCCGTGTAACCTGCCCACTGTGTTGAGTGCCTTCCCAATGGTCAGCCACACAGTCCTTGGTCTGCATGCAGCCAGCTCAGGGCATTCAGAGTTTGGTGGCTTGGGGACACTTGGTACACCCACAGCCTTAGCAGCACATCCCCAGCTAGCACCTTTTCCAGGTAAAAACATATTAATTAAGAATATTAAACTTAAGAGAGTTAGCTGTCCTCATACCCTATAGAAACTTTAATTGAATTTTACATGAGGAAGTAGGTGGTTTCGGTTCTCTCAGAAGTAGGCTTGGTTTAAATCTAGAACAAGTGTTGATAAGAGCAGAGAGATGCACAGTTTCAAATTTCCTGAGTTTCTTAGCAACAGTCTTTCCATTGTGTTCTTCTAAGAACCATGTAAAGCAAATAGTGCTAAGTTATTTATTCTTTCCGTCACAGCTTAATAACCTTCTTCATTACCTGGATGTGTCGACTGCCTAACCACAGTGTTGGAAAGTACTCAGCTAGAACTAAGATGGGACTTGTTTTCCTTTGTATATGTTTTTTTTCTGTTACCATACTAGTGAAAATTCTGTCTAGACTTAGAAATAAGTTTCTTTTTAGTTCTTTTTTTGAGCTCAACCCATTCTTGGTAGATAACAAGACTTAATCATTTTTCTACGTCTGTTGATGATAGACCATGGGGGAAGTCTCAAGAATTCTGAAGATGCTTTTTAGCTGAGAATCACAAGTCAAATGGGTTTCATCAACAAATTGAGTGTTGATGAAACAGAAGCCTAAGATGTAATTCATATGTGTGCCTGCACATCTGCACTGCTCTATGACAGCGTAACGATACATTCAACTTGGAAGGAGGGGTTGACTCCGCTTGTAAGCATTGGTGTGACTGAGCCTGAACTAAGGGCATGTGATCTTCGTGATCCCTGTGAAGGGGCAGTTTGGCTGGGTGTCACTTCTGTGTTCCTGGGCTGCCCTTCTGCAGGGCAGAATACGCCCAGTGTAAATAGGAAACTAGGGGGCTCAAATGTGTGGAAATGTAAGAGATACTGTTGGGCTGTTGGGGTGCTGTTTAGGATTGCCTGGTATGAGTGTTGGGTTTGTGGGGGGGAGTTTTGGGTATAGGGTTGGGTGTGTTTTTTTTTTTTTTTCCTTCTTCTTCTTTCTCCTCTCTGAGGAGAGTTTTTCTCTTAAATAGGGACACCCTCTGATAAAATAGAGGAGACTGGGAGTATGTACAGGTTAAAATAGAACAAATATTTCAGTGATTACTTTTAGCATAATTTTAAGTTTTGTTTACCGTGAATGACAGAACGTTTCACTTATTATGCTAAAGGCATAAAGCAGAACTTTGTAAATGAGTGAGTAGTGATACACTAGATACATAAGTAGTTAAAGCAAAAACATCTGGAAGATACACATGTAAACCTCAAGAGGTAAAATTCTACTAAAACCAGGCAGTATGTCCATGGTATAGTGTATTAATTCACTGATTTTTCTTACATGCTCTAGGTGTGCCTGCTTGAGTGGAAAGGTTGGACTACAGGATCTCTAGAGGTCCCTTCCAACCTTAAATATTCTGTGATGCTGTGATTCTGCGATTCATTCATTTGTAATAGCTATCTAACAAGTACTAGCGTAGTGAAACAATCAATACTTGTTTAAAATTTTATTCACTGCTCATGGATTCTGTTGACTTCAGTCTACCCTGTAAAATAAGCTTCCTTTACTGAGAAAGTTGGGGTTTGCTTGTTTGCGTGTTTTCTAAAGTAGGAATGAAAGAACCTGCGCACCTGACAATTATCTGGCCTTGTCTCGTGTTCTAGGGGTTTCAGTTAGCAGTGGAGGTGCAGCTCAGCTCCCGTCTGTGGTGGTGCTTTCCTGGTTAAGTACGTGCATGTGAATCTATGGATGGAACTATTTTCATTTGCTGTCATATTCATAGATGGTCTTTTCTGTATGTCTCGGTAATACAATGCATGGTTAATATAAGAGGTTATCTTGGGCTAGCTATTTGTAGTATTGTAGTGGGGACCTATGGTGTTTTTACAATTTCAGTGTCCATTTACTCTGTCAGATTAAAGTTCGGTTTTACCGGCTTTCTTTGAATGTCATTTATGTATCTATTCATAGTCTTAATCAGGTGTGTAGAACATCCTTACTAGCTTGGAAATGACAATATAGTATAGTTCTTTTAACCACACAGCTAATGGATGTGTATAAAACACAATAGACACTTCTCTACTTATGGCAGAGTTAGCATCTTAGTAAAGTACAGAAATTGATAATTTTTCGTTTAAGAAGTGAAGCATTCCAGTGAGCCAAACTGCCAATTCTTTGCATTCTCAGCTAGTCATAGGGAAATTATTTAAGGGGCATTGAGTGATTCTCTCTTGTCTATATTTCTGTTTCTAAAAAATTGCAATTGTATGTAGGAAGCCCTAAAGAAGTAATTTTCGAGACAATAAATACAGTCAAAGAATCATAGAAGTCAGAAAAGACTTACTTTTCACCTAGTGCATTCTGTTTTATAGAATTGTAGATTGGTAGTTTTGTAGATTGTTCCTTTCTATGTAATGTTTCAGCGTCTCATTATAAAATTTTCACTATATGACTGGAAAACCCCTTTAAAAATTTGATACTTTAAAGCAGCACAGTATTTGAATTACTTTTTTTGATGAGTCAACTGTACTAAAACATTTACCTCTGCTACCCTGTGAAGACAGCAAAGCTGTATGTCTAGTGTAGGACCTGCATGGTCACCTTCTCTTACAGTAGTTTATTTATTTTATATTCACTTGCTTGTCAGATTTAAGCTTAATATATTTGAAATGTATTTCTAGTCTTTGTGACATTTGCATTTTTGTGTTATATTCTTGAATCTTCTGCTGTTGGTAATGTGGTATGGTGTCTGGTTTGGTTTCAGGTAGTGGTTGTATTGGTTTTGAAAGACATTTGCAAGAATCCTTTTCTCCTGGCAGATTATTAAGAGTTGGATGCGCTCCCTGTCTGTATCTCAAATGGGATCTGCTTCTAAAAGTTATTTTTTCCTCTTGGAAACATTTAAAAAGATTCCATTTGAATGATAGTACATTTTGGTCTCTCTTTGAATAGTTACCCTTTTAACATGTTCATTCCAAAATGTTGTCACCACTGCTGTGGCTGTGAAATGTGATCCTGACGCTGAAGAGGTTGCTTGGAAAATTCATACAACCCTCTTGTGATTCCCATGTTAGTGCAGAATTATCATTAAAGCACAGAGCTTGATACCTTTTACATGGCTATTCAGGAGGATCTTATAAACAAAATATAGTTTGCTGAGTCTTGCAGAATCTCAAAAAAAGTGTATTAGAGAGTCATATAAAAATTCTAGTTGCTGCTGCTGCTGGTGCCAATAACTTCTGAATTTAAATTTGTAAGGAGCATGTCGAGTCATTTAAACTTCATTTTCTTGGTTGAGAGTGGAAGCTAATCAGTTAAGCTGAAAGTTAGAAATACGAATAGAAATGGATTATGTAAGTATTAGACCATACTTTAAAGGAAATCTTTATTTTCTGCTAAGCCACTTGAATTTATGTAAGTAGCAGCGCATCACAATTTAGCTGCATATATGATTGTGCAACATCTGTTTTAGTAGAGATGTTACAGAAGAGGAAAAGAAAAAAGAAGAAGAAGAAAAGAGCAGATTAACAGATTGCATTTTTAATTCCTGTGTCAAACTCCAGGGTTTGAAACCTCTTGGAGCAGAAATAGAGCTACGTAGTTGAAGTAAAACTGCATTGAAATCTTTATCACATTGAGTTAGATGATTTGAGAATTCCCACAGGAAATGCACACTATTTATTATGTTAACATTTTACACAGAGTTGATTTTTTTTCTGCTCCCCATTAGAATTTATATAAATGTGCTCTGAATTGTTTGCAGGAATATGCTTCTAGAAATATGCAATTAGAACAGCTGAAGTTTGTTTTTCTTTTCCTGTGGCACAGAATGGTGGAGAACAGCGGATGTGCACTCTCGTTCCGGGGCAGCTTTCTTCCCACCACTCCTGGGAATCTCACCACTGTTTTCGCCTCCTGCTGATTCTGCTTCTTTCCACTCAAGAACTACAGGGAAAAATAATCGAGGCAGTATAGAAAAAGGTAACAGCTCAAGTTGTCATATGAACAAATTTGTATTTAACTTTATGTATGCAGAAAGAAGTGGAATTTGAGCTTTACTTTTTATTTATGATCATTCTTCCCATTCCTAAACAATTCTTAAGATTTAATATTGTCATATGAACATGAGATACAAATAATAGGCTGTCAGTAAATCCCAAATACCTTTTCTATTAACATCCCCCTCCGTTTTGTTTGATGGTTAGTCTGGGCTTGAGTAGTAAGATATATTTTTCTCTTAAACTTTGTGGGTTCGTTTTTGGAGTCCATGTACTTCCATAGTAAATAGCCTTCTGTGTGAAGAAATAGGCATCATGTCGTCGTTTGTCGGGTGGGTGAAGGTACAGATGGAGCAACAGAGTGACAGGAATACAGTAAGGTTAACCTAGTGACATCAGAAAGTTTCCTTGTGTTTGTGTAGTGGTGTTGCATTTCTTTTGAAGTTGCAGTATGAATTCATTGATTGTACCATCAAAACTGCCTTTTTGGTTACTTTTAGGAACTGATGAGTGTTCCAGAATAGTCTCATAAGGGTTATGGAATTACAGAATATCAGATTTGGGGTATCTTCATGAAAGCTATACTTCTAGTTAGGTCATTAAGCAAGCTTGAACTTGCATATTTTTTCAGATACGATTTCCACAACTTCACTTTTCCCCACCCTCTTCATTTACGTATCCTCATACTCTATGTATTTTGTGCAGTTTTCTCTGGAGGCGGTTCATACTCCAAAATGGAAGCAAATTGTCCTGTGAGGCTTCCTGCAGCGTATATTGTGGGCGTTTGCTAGTGTGTGTGTGTGGTTGTGTGTGCTGGTGTAGATTCATTTTTTTTTTCTGCAGCATTTTGTCATGATTTAACTCTGAAATAGTTTGTGTTTGAAAACAGACAAGTTCAATTTTTTTTTCATTCTTCCTTTTTTAACAGATTTTAAATATTTGTCCTTTAGATTATGTGTGTTTCTACACTTTGTGATTAAAATAAGTTCATAAAAACTCTTACTGGATAGCTGTCCGTGATCTTGCTAGGAATTTGTGCAGTTAGTATTATGAGAACCTCTCAAAGAACATGTCTCTTATTTTATATTTTGTATATGTCACTTTTTAAAATCTGTCTTCTCAAGGTATAAATGGATCATTGAATGGGAACAGTGCCACTGCAGGATCTAGTATCAGCACATCTGTGCTATCAACTAGCATTGCCACATCTGCGGGACAAGGGAAACCGATAACCTCAGGAGCAGGAGGCCGCAAATATAACCATGAGCAAAGTAAAAACCAGATTCTGGATGCCAGAACTGACAAAATCAAAGATAAGGTAAATAAACTTTCAGTGCTCCAACAAAAAAAAATTACTAAAGATAGCAGATCATGTTCTGAGGGTGCATTCTCTAGCTTTTTTTTGTTCTATTGATGGTAGCTAAGATGGTAGCATTAACACTAAGTGCACTAGATGATAGCTGCAGTGGATAACATTTGAGGGAATTTATAATATCAAATTTCAGACATAAAATTTTTAGACCTTAAAATGATTCATCAGAGTTAACCAGATGTGGAGTACCAAAGACATGAGTAGTCTCATTTAGTTGGGAATGCTACTTGGGCACTGAGCCAAACAGTGCTTGAAAACTTTTCTACTCTTGGAAACCAAAAAAAGTTATTCCGTATCAGCAGGCACCTAGAATAAAGTGCTGTATTTTATGATATTTATGTTCAGTTTTGTTTTTATGAGTGAATTATGCTTTGGCTTATTTCCTCTTTTCCATCATGACATTACCTATAATCCCCAAATCTGAATGTTTCTAAGTGAAGTACAGAACTTTTCAAAGCATGGTGCATGTTTGTATCCAGCCAGCTGCATAAAAGCAGCTATTAACGCTAAAATGGTTAATTCTGTTTTTCTTGTGATAGGATATTTAGTATATTGACAACAGGGAAATTATTAACATAGAGAAATTTTCCTGAAAAAGTTCTTCATATATTCAACCAGCAGGAATTTTTGAAAGTGTCAAGATAGATGGAGATGTTTGTGAAAATGAGTATGATAAATAGATTTTTTTTTTCTTAAGCACCATTTGTATACTGGAGATAACGTGCAAGGTGCAGCTTTGCTTCTGTGATGCAGAAGTAAAGCATTTCTCAGGTGGCGTCTGTTTCAGCCCCTCACGGTTCCTGTGTTTCTCATGTCTCTCTTTTCCCCCCTGTCTTTAGCAGGCACAGTTTCTGTTGTTTGTGGAAATACCATTTCAATCTGTGGTTCTTCACAAGGAGAAATTTAACATGATGTGTTTGTCATAGTATTTTAGGAGTTTCTGATTCATTTTTCAGAAGTAGTTCTCAAAAGCAACTTCTTGAGTACATTTTTTTCAATACACAAAACATAATACTGATGAACATGTACTGTCAAATCACATATCAAATAATGTAGTTTAAATGAATGTGTTACTGAAACGTCTTGATTAATTCACTATTTCCTTTGCTTTCCATATATTAGAATTAGGCTATATTTTTAAAAATTTGTTGAACGTAGTACATTCTTCAGATGTTTGCTAGTTTTCCAGACCTGAATTTGATATGTTACTTTTGAAGTTTAGTAATACTTAGTATTCTGACAGTGCATGTTGTCCCCAAATTGTTTTGGTGCAACCTTGCAATGTGTTTGGTTATGCATCACCTTGCAAACAGCTTCTTTCTCCTTTTTGTTAAGACTGTTTCAAGAGCCGGATGTGTTCACCAGTTACTGAAGTTAAGCATAATGATTAGATGATACAAGAGGTTAGAAGTGAATCAGTAATAGAGCATTCACCTTTCTCTCAGAAACCTAGGAAAAAAGCAGTGGAAAGCTCCAGTAACAGTGACAGTGATTCAGGCTCTTCCTCAGACACTTCAAGTGAAGGCATTAGTAGTAGTGACTCTGACGATCTAGAGGAGGATGAAGAGGAGGAAGACCAGAGTATGGAAGAAAGTGAAGATGATGATTCTGATTCTGAAAATGAACATCACAAAAACAAGAACAAGGTATGATGCCTCACTGCTGCCCAAAGTCTTGACACCGAAAGCTGTTTGTAAAAAATTGATTTGTTAGTGTTTGTTCCAGTAAGTTAACTGTACACTTAACACATTAATGTAACTTAGTAATGTTTCTTTTGGTTTTAGTTTATGGGTTATCTGTATTTTGCCCCTCCCCTTTTTGGGGCAGAGGCTAACAACAGTTGGTAGCACATTAGTTTTGATAGTAGAAGATATTTAAATAAAAAGAAATTAAATGTTGTGTACTGATAGAATATAGGAACTATGTCTTTCCTTGGATCAGGCGTTTTGTTTGCATTTCTTTCTTCCACCACTGATACAATATTTAATTCTAGTCAATAGCTTATAGAAGAAAAAGAGGTTTACAGTCAATAATACCTATCAAAACAGCAGTGTTTCAGTACTGTTTCTCACTTAAACAGTAACTTCATATGGGGGAAACCTCATGGTTTGGGAAAGGAAATACTGAACAACAAAGCGTAAGGTTATTTTAAAAGTACTGTTGTTCACTGTCTGTAAAGAATAGTGGAATTGTTCCATGAGAATTGATTATGTAATTTTTGTTCAGCACTTTTAATATAACTAAAAATACATATTTTGCAGGTGCTAATGCATAGCGGTATAACAGATTTGAAAACAGATGGACAAAAAACTCATGAGAAGTCCCAAGAAAAAAGAACACACCAGCCGATACCTCTTGTGTCTGATTCCCAGACTCACTCACCATTCCAGTCCCAGCAGAAGCAGTCTCAGGTTTTGTCACAGCAGCTTCCCTTTATTTTCCAAAGCTCTCAGGCAAAGGAGGAATCTGTGAACAAACACACAAGTGTAATACAGTCTACAGGACTAGTTTCCAATGTGAAACCTTTGTCTTTGGTAAATCAAGCCAAAAAGGAAACCTATTTAAAACTTATAGTTCCTTCCCCTGCTCTACTCAAAGCAGGGAATAAAAATACCTCTGAAGAATCTACCCCTTTGACCAGTGATGTAAGATCAAAACGGGTGAGTCAAAGTCACCAATAACGTAATTATTTGCAATTTGTCTTCTTATTAAGGTATGGCATATGTTGTAAAACTCTTTGAAATATTTGAAAAATATTGTATGTTTATAGTTGAATTATGTTTATTTTTGACATACTTAGTATTGATGTGAATTTTTTGCATGATGTAAATTAGCTAAGCTGTTTTTGTCATTATATGTTCTGACTTTTTTCTTTTTTTAGAGCACCAGATATTGTAGTTTAATTTTAAAAGTGTTTTAACTATATATTACAAGGGTCTTGAGCTCTTTTTCTTGGAGGAAAGCAAGTAATTTACATGGTGATGCCTATTGTTTATGTGCATATGTGAATGATGCAGTTCCATATGCAGTTTACTGTCACATCCTGCCAAACTTTCACCTAGCTAAGTTCTACAGGTCTTTTGAAAGTCAGCTGTGTATTGGTAAGAGTACCAGGTAAGGTACATCTTAAGGCTCACCTCTGGTAAATATATTTCAGCTGAGCCTTTAGCTCTTAAAGATTTTATAAGGAACTGCATACTTACATGTGTCTCTGTAATTCACATCAGCTTGTGTTGTGGCTCTCTATGTGGCAGAAATAAAGTAACTCTCTCAAAAAAAGATGACATAGGCACATAACCTCTTATACATATTTAAAGAACTTGGCCTTCACCTCCACAAGCAGTGACAGACCCCAGTGCACTTCTTAAGTATTTACTCATGTAATTATTAAGGACCTTAATCTGGTTGTCCAGAGAGGCTGTGGAATCTCCATCCTTGGAGATTCTCAACACCCAACAGGACATGGTGCTGAGCAGATGCTCAAGGTGAACAGCTTGAACAGATGATTTCCAGAGGCCCTGTGCTTCCTTGGACCTGTGAAGGATAGCTGAGAAAGGAGTAAATTCTGTGTTTGAAGATGGCTTTCAACAGAAGAGGGAGGAAGAGGGGCAAATAAAAGCCCATGAATAATGAAACAGAGCTAAATGGTCTATAGAAATGGCAGAAGATTTCCCAAAAGGGCTGAGAAATTTTTGTATTACTGTCTTGCCAGCCTGTGAATTCTGGTAGATTTTTAATACATTAAGGCTTGCAATATTTGGACAAACAGACAAGTTAAAGACAGGATTGTAATGGAATTTAGAACAGCTTCAGCATGGTGGATTATGAAGTTTAAAAACTTTAGTATTTCATTACATCCTAACCAGAAAAAAAAGGGGGGGGGGGTGGAAATGATGATGTACATCTCTTAAGGAAATTTAGCAGCTAAAGTCAATATATTACATTGAGAAATGTAGTCCTGAATAAATAGTCTGCTCTGAATGCTTTTCTTTTGCTCTTCCTAATTTCGGTCAGCAGACTTTTCATAGCTTTTGTGTAAGCATGGCTTCTCTTTGTTTCAGAGTCAATAAGTTTAAGTAAAAGTACTTAAAATTACATATTTTAATCATCATTTATACTATGAATTTAGTTTGGGGCATACTTTTCTTGCATTTTAAAGAAAAAAGGTTATTTACCAATGGATGGTTATTAAAATTGTGGGGCCTTTTCTTCCTCTATTGAGTTACATTTGAATGGAAATTGGAAGAGAATTAGGATCTAGTGTTTAAAAAATAATTAGGCATGATGTTCCTAAAGAATAAACAAATCTTATTTGATTCATAGCTAAATTTGAGGATTTGAGGAATAAAGTACTTCAGTTTAACGTGTTGAAATTAGCAAAATCAGTATTTTTTTTTTCACTATGGCATTACCGTTTGGATTTTTTTTCATTAATGGAGTAAGGTAGCAAATAAAAAAACCTTTCCTCTACACTTTAAATGGGCTTCATCTTGAGTTCCTGGATCAATCTTTTCAACCTCCCTTTACCGTGAAAATCAAGACAGTGCCTAAAGCAACTTGAAATTACTTACCTTCAGTTGTAGTTACCCCACCTACTTTTGGCCTATTGAAAGCTTTTTTTCGGGAAGCAGATGTTGAAGGTTGAAAAGAGATTTCCTGTCTGAAAAAAATTAAACCTTCCTTTTCCCCCTACCCCCGGCTTGTTTCTGTAGGAACAATATAAACAGACATTCCCAGCAGCACAGATGAAGAAACAGGAATCATCTAAGAACCTGAAGAAAGTTATTGCAGCTTTGTCAAGCTCTAATCCAACCTCTAGTTCACCAGCTCATCAAAAACTCACGTCTTTGGAAAGCAACCATTCCAATCCATTCCTGACAAATGCACTTTTAGGTAATCACCAACCCAATGGAGCTATTCAGAGTGTGATCCAGGAAGCCCCTTTAGCACTTACTACCAAACCAAAATCCCAGACCAAAATTAATGAAAGTGTCACCGCATCTGGTAGTGTCCCTTTTTCTTCGCCAGTGAACTTGAGTGCATCTGGGAATAAATCAACTGGGAACCGGACAGCTGTTATGCCCTCTACCTCCCCTCTGTTGCCTGTTTCAGGAAAGGACAAAGCAGTGAGCAATAATGCAGTAAAAACACAACACCGCCTTCATTCTGCAAAACTGGTAGTGGAGCAGTTCAGGGGAGCAGATTCAGATGCCCCCAGCAGTAAGGACTCTGATGACTCAAACGACGATGATGATGACGACGATGATGAAGATGAAGATGATGAAGATGATGATTCTGATGATAGCCAATCAGGTGGTTTAATCTTTTTAAATGGAAAAGTAGATGTGTTCTTTCTGTAAATAAGAGATTTTCTACAATTTTTAGTATGGGAAGGAATCTTGCCTACACACTGTTTAGACCACAGTGTCTTTCCAGGGTACATACCCTGAAAAGTTGTACATTTCTTCTCATCTCCAATAATTGCATGTCCAAAATCATGTCTAGAATATTCTAATTTTTGCTCTATAGTCAAGTCACAGTCTTATGTCACAGAAAGGTGTCTTTGGGGCCCCTGCAGAGGGTTATCAGGGACTTAGTTGCAGATGAATCATCCAGCTTGGGTTCATAGGCCACTTAGGTGGAAAGGTGCCCAAAACATTAGAGAGAATAGGCTGGATCATGTATGGTTGTTACAGGAAGTTTAGCCTATCTACATAAACTTTCCTGCAAGTGTTGTAGAGAGGGAGTGAAAAGTCTCTGAATTGTTTGGATTGGCCAGAAAAGTATGTTTGGGTTTCACTCAGGAGCAGAGTAGTAAGTGAGCAAGACTAGAGAAAGTTTGCAGGAAATTTTAAAGCCTTAGATGTTTATATATACTGCTTTCAGAACACAATTTTAAAGGCTCTTAGGCAAAGGAAGGCTAGGGCCATTTCAAAATGGTGCTCATATTGCCAGCATTTGCATTTCTGTCTTGTGCCTGCATCCCCTGTGTGCCGCCCCCGCTTCATCACTGTATTTCCCCCTCTCCACAAAGCATGTACTAATCCTGTTTTTCCCCTAGAGCTTTAGCCTACATTTAGTTGTTCATCTCTTCTACCATTTACCCGGTCAAACCTCCCCGTTGCCTGGGTTGCGACATCTCCAGTCCTGAACAACTTTCAGCCTGTGCCTGCTTCCACTACTCACTTTCTGCTCTTTTTGCTGTATTTCACAGCTTGTAAAATGCCCATCCTGTGGCATATCCACTATCTGCCTCACAGAAAGATGGGTCTTAGCTTTAGCCAATTCTGAGGCAAAACATTTCATAAAATACTGGCCTCTTTTCTCTTTATCTTCTCAGTAAAAAATAAAAAAAAATATCCCAAGCCACAGTGCATTTCCATAGGGAATTACTTCTTATAGTATCATATTTATAGTCATTTTGAAGTTTACATAAATGGATTATAACTTTCTGTTGATACTCAGAGATCTTCTAAAATATTTTGAAGGCAGAAAACCTTTTTTAATAAAGCCACCAATTTGATGAGCATTGGAGTTCTTGTGTATTTGTTGTTATTTATCTAGTTGTAATGTGCCTTTTGCTACTTTTTTTTTCAGAGTCTGACAGTAATTCTGAGTCAGATTCAGAAGGGACGGAAGATGATGATGAAGAAGATGATAAAGATCAGGATGAATCAGATACAGACACTGAGGGAGAAAAAACTCCATTGAAACTGAATAAAACAACTCCCTCTGCGAAGAGCTCTTCCATTGGTCTTGGAGCTCTTTCCACGCCACTTAATCTCCAAGTAGCAAAGACCCCAAGCTCTGCGCCATCTGCCTTATGTCCCGAATCCCAGCCTACAGTTTTTATTGGGACACCATCGCCTGCACTTGCACCAAGCACACACTGTGGTATCTTAATGTCTTTTTTTATAACAGTCTAACACATAATTGATATGGGTTGTGAAAGTATTTATAAAAAGTACTTAAGACGTTGTTATCAAGTGATAATTTCCCAAATGTTCTGAATGGATAAGACTGTCATCAGAAGCGCAGATACTACAGACCTGAACATAGCACTCAGTTCAGGATGTTTTCATTTCAAATTTTTTAAATAGTGTTAGATTCTTAAAGTTATTTTGGGAGAAAGTGGTATTTAATAGATAGATATTATGTGGATTATCTTAAAAGTCTCATTATTTAGTCTTTATTTATTTCCATTTTATTCTCTAGCAGTTGTTCTAGATCTTTTTTAATTCTAATGGCAAAGGTGCATCACATTCTTCACACAGGATCTAAACTCGCTTCTTGAGACAAGCTTCTTCCCAAAATTTGCCTTTCTCCATAGCTGATGCCTTACTGAGCTGATGTCTCTTAAAAAGGCTTTAAAAAAGCACCAACTTTTTGTATTCTGTTAAACCGCACTGCTGGCAATCGCTTGTGTTACTTTGAATCAGCCTGTAAATGAGCACGAAATACGTAAATAGCTCTTTGAATTCTGAATAGCCAGGCAGATCCCTCAAATAATCTGCCTTTGCCCTTTTGCCACAGTGTATTGACAGTGCTCTTTGAAGGGCTAAACCCTTTTGGATTTTTAAAAATCCCTTAAGGATTTTTAAAGAACTTCAGAGAATTCATTCTCATCTTCTGTACTGAAAACAGGATTTTTCTAGTGTGCAGGTGTACAGGTAGCAACCAATTAATATATTTTATCTCCGTATAGTACCTGAAAGAGACAAAAACAGTCCAGGAGTTCTGTTTAGAATGTTAGAAATTACTTTTTGATATTACTTCCTAGGTCTTAATCAGAAATTCTGTTCCAGGTATTTCCAAACGACGAAGAGTAACAGACGAACGAGAGCTGCGTGTTCCTCTAGAGTACGGGTAGGTTACGTATTTGCTAAATGGAGATCATACCTTCAAAAGTTAGTTGGCAAAGAAATGGCATTTAAAAGCTTTTGGGGCTGAAATACATGAGAAGGGTGTCAACCTTCTCTGTTTACCTTTTCAGTTATACTGAATCTCTTTGGAAGTGTCAATAGGTTTCACATGTGAGATCTGAGCCTGAACAGATTCCATATAACCGTGTCATAAATACAGTTCTAAGAAGTTTAAAATCTGGTAATTTGAAAATAGTTTGATATAAGTCCATTTATATTCAGAATTTCAGTAAATAAATGAAATGATTAAGCTTTCCATTTTTGCCCGGTTACTTTTTGATATCCATGTTACACTTTATATATATTGAATCTTATATTTCTTTTAAAATTAATAAGTTGATATTAATTATATATGTTAAAAAAAAAGTTGTATGCAACTATTTCTTATTACTCTAGCTGGCAAAGAGAAACCCGAATAAGAAACTTCGGTGGTCGTCTTCAAGGTGAAGTAGCATATTTTGCACCATGTGGAAAGAAGCTGAGACAGTATCCTGAAGTAATAAAAGTAGGTTTCTTTTCTTATTTCTGAATTCTTATGCTACTAAGCATGCTCTTAATACAAAATATGATTTTTCCTCCAGTAAAGTCTCTTATTTCAAGAATATCCTGTGATATGAAGCTTAATGTATCTCAACTTTTTACTGATTTGATCTCTTTTAAATGCATATTTCTGTTATAGAATATGCAAAACATCACACTCACAGAGCTTTACATCAAAGCTGAGTTGTAATTATTTACAAGCTGAAGTGGAAAAATATGTGATTTTTTCAGTATCTCAGCAGAAATGGAGTAATGGATATCTCAAGGGACAATTTCAGCTTCAGTGCAAAAATAGGAGTGGGTGACTTCTATGAAGCCAGAGATGGACCGCAGGTATCTGCTTTTTAAAAAGTAACGTTTTTGATCCAAGGAACAGTACCATAAATTTAGGAGAAGTAACTTTTTTTTCCCTTTTTTTCTGCAGTCTGGAGTAGTGTTTGTTTTTAGCTAGATCATTTTAAAAGTTGTGTTTACTTTTTGTAGTACTTGTGATAAGCTGAGTGCTTGATCCTGGGCAGTGCTGGAAACCTTCACCTTTCAGTGACTTCAGCAGGAGGATATGCCTTGTGGTCACCTAAGTAGCTATGTCTAAGCCTGGATTTAGTAAGAAGGAATTTAAAGCTATATATTTTACCTCCTAAAATGCTCAGATATTTCTGGCATCTTATTAAGTGAAAGATAATCACCTTAAAATCTTATTGTCTTATGTGAACTCAATACTTAAAAAAATGTTTTGTGTTACATCACACTCTTTTTATATGTTCATCTGTATAGTGTATCTAAAATACGTATTTAAGTACATGTTTGTTGTATAGAGATTACAGTCTGTGCTTCCTGAAGAATTAGATTTTTACAGGAAGCAATGTTGAATATACAAAATACACTGTATAGTAACATAGCTGTTAAACTGTGTGGGTAATCCGCACAAGGAAAAGGAAAATTAAGATGTTGTGGAAATACATTTGTTTTGTCCTTTGTTACTCTGTCTTGGTCACATTGCTGTTTCTTTAGGATAAGTGAAGGGAGTTTGTATTTTTATCAGTTAATATGTTTGCTACTTCAAAATGTATGGGTCTGTCCTGCATATGTTGCTACCAGAATGTGGATAGATATCATACTTTCAGCAAACTTGAGGGCTTGTCCTAGTTCACCCTAGGTAGCTGTGATACCTTGTGGAAATTGGTAATATCTATATAGAATAAATTAAAAGGTATCACATAGCCTCAGTTCACAGGAAGCAGCCACTTTTAGTTGGAGCTGGCTGGTTCCTGGCAACATTGCTATAACCCCTTGGTGTTTGGCCTTCATAAACCGGAAATTACATGTAGATGCAATCATGAACTTCATTACGCACCTCAGTGATCTTAATCTGAGTATTTCTCAATACTGCAAACATAACATAGTGTCAGGATGTCTGCTCTCACCTTTCTCACGCCTGTTTCCCGTATTCCTTCATTTCTCATGTTCTCATGTAGTTAGTTACCTCTCTCATCTCCCTGCAGTTAATGAGATGATTTACAGTGTCTTCTTTTTGATCCCATAACCTTCAGAGAGAAACAAAGGAAGGGTCACGTCTCAGTAGGCAAATTTGGTAACACGATATTAAGTCACTGCACATCCCACAATGGTTGCTCTTTGTATAGTTTGTGCTAAGCTCTGTGAAGACAGAGGAAAAGGCTGCTCTTCTAGAGCAGTGCCAGGCAGGCAGTAAGGAGGTGGGATGCACTGCTTTGCCTGAGATGGCAGAGTGGATCAGGTGGGTGTTTAGGTGACTTGCACCATGGAGCTGCTCCGTGGGGTGACCTTCTCGTGCATGGGTCATACCTGACTGAGTGAGCTGTCCCACTGCTGTTTCTGTGGCTCCCCCCTCAGGCCACCCACGTGGGATTTACCTGCTGCTGGGCAGAAGCTCTCAGCTTGCCACCTGCCGACTGCATAGCGGAGGTGCTCTGGTCAGGTCACGCAGTTTTTCTGCTGGGATTGCATCCTGAAGTCATGACACTTTGTTCCTCTTTGCTTTATGTGAAGTAGAAAATCTGCATTCTTGGAGTTGCAAGTTATCTATGTGTATTTCATGGGCTTGAGATGAATTCCAGACTGTGGACAGGACTAATTTTCAGTTTTTTGAGAGTGCAACTCAGAGTTCCTCCCCTAATCTGGCATTGAGGAAGGAATTAATTAAAGAACCTGGGAGAGCCCTAGGAATATCTTCATTCTGGAGGTATTATAATTGGCATCTGCACAGGATGTTTACCCTTGGAGAACAGTAATTATAGGTAAGTTCATCTTAGTTGCTGTAGCTTATCTTTATTTCTGTTACCTCATTATAGTAGCGTATATATTCCAGTCTTTGTTTTTGCCTGTCTGTGTTTCTCATTCTAAGTCTAGTCTTTGCAGCTAATTTTACACTATACCTGCTAATACTTACATAACATGATCATAGCATTTGGTGTTTGATATAATTATATATTATTTATTCTGCCATTAATTTTTGCATATATACTCTGTTAAAGATGATTCTAGATATTACAGTACCAATTTTTTAAATAGATCAGCATTTAGGATCACAGAATCTATTCTGTTCTAGGTCAGTTCAAAACTCTGTTTACTGTTTTCTTCCTAAGCTGGCATGAAGGTTCAAACTTGCCATTGCTTGACTCAATCTGAGTTGTTAAAGTAGAAAAAAGTACATACTAATTGGTAGGTTATTAATCCCCTATAATTTATCCACTACACTTTCCAAGTTCCCTGTTTCTGTTTTGGAATGACAAAAATGTTCTTTGCTGTCTATCCTCTTGCTATAATTTGCTGTCTATCCTCTTGCTATTGTTGTTACGTATTATGTGTCATATTTTGACCTACTAGACGATAATGTAAACAGTGGAACGGTGCTCAGGATGCTAATTTGCAATGTGCCATGTTAGTATTACAGGAAAGGGATGTCCACCCTTTTTAATAAACTTTGTTTAGTTGCGCAGCTGCAGCACTCATATGATAAACTTTTCTTCATGTATTTCTAGAACCAATTCCAATAATTTGATTTCTGCTTCTGCTCTAGCTCCTGGGATTTTTGTCTAGCTTTCATTGATACCCTTTTTCACTGTTTTCTTTTGAGATGTGCAGCACACATGCCAAATGACCATGTAATTTTCCAAGAGCCCAAAGATGGAATAAAATGCAAAAAAAATTACCTGTGGAATAAACACAGCTCTTCAGCTTAATGCTGAAGAGTGGCCTATAGTAAACTAAGGAGAAAAAAAAAAAAAAGGAAGTTACTTGCTTCTGATATAGCCAGTGTTTCCCTGGCAACCAGAGACAAAGCCCTTCCTTCACAACTTGTGACCCATTTGGATAGTGCTTTTGCAGCTTCACTTCTCGCTGTGTGCTGTGTGGCATGTCTGGCAACAGTGGGCCAGAAATAGTCTGTGGAGGCATTTTTGAAGGTTGGGAGGTAGTTGTAGATTGGCAGGACTAGGAGGCTGGTGAACAGGAGGCTGTGTTTGGGATGGAGTGCTGTGAGATGGAGGGGCACCTGTCCCGGTGCTCTGGAGCGATATGGGTAAGAACAGTGCATTGAGGTGCCCCAATAGGTCGTCTCCTGGAGGCTGTGCTAACGTGTTGCAGGAGAGTGTTTCTCATAAGGAGCCTATCTGGCTGCAGTCCAGAACATTAGCAGGGGCTAGATCAGATCATCCACATACAGTGGTGGATGATCTATGTGGTCTACATTTGATGTGAAAAACTTGTAGCAGTTTTCAAAACATGCATGTTTTGAAATGTCAGGTCCCTGTGCATATTGAACCTTACACTTGCCAGGTTCGTTTCATCTCTAGTGTCTGCTTTGGGAGATGCTGGGCAATTGCCAATATGTATTTACCTCTCTGAGTCTAAATACCCTGTGAACCTCTGTCTTTCTTTGATAAACATCACATATTTAGTATCCTGGTTGCATTAACCATAGAAAATACAGATAGGTTGCAAGAGGAATCTCCATTGCAGGGTCTAAGGTGCTTTAACTATGACTTCTTTTCCTTCTGTTGCTTGAATTTTTTTTTTTTCTTCTTTGCCACTTATGAGAGAGGTGGTTTGCTTGGTTAAAGATAAGTGTAGGAGATAAAGAGATAGAGTAGTTGGTCTAGTTTACATTACTCCACAACAGAAATTGAGTCTGTAATAAATTTTAAGTACTAGACATTTATACAAAAATGTATTTGTAAGTCTTAGCACTTACATGTGTGTAAGATAGAAAAATGAAGCAACTTCCATTAAAGTGGTATAGGTAACATTTGGATTAAGAGGTCCCTGGAATGACATATTCTGTACTTCCTGATATGATCATAATTCAGAACTCCCTGTGTTTAATAACATAGCTAACAACAAAGTGCTTTGAAAAGTCCGTAAACTGATCTGTATTCCTGTGGTGGTGGTCGCTGAGCAATTCAAACTTGCCAAGTGGCTTTGCATGTACTGCTAGCTGCCTGGGGCTCTGTGCATTTGGGTAGGAAACACTGTTTCTTTTACAGACCGTTGTACCAAACGTTTCTAACATATTCTGAGGAATTAGCTGAAAGCGACAAGTGAAGCAAACAAAACTTGTATTATGGTACAGCAAAATCTTATTTATGCAAATGTTAATATGAAAAAATTAATAACGTGAATTTATTTTTGTGAGTATCTTTTAATTATTGTGTGTTTTTTAAGTCAGCAGCTTTAATTCTTGCTTTAGCAGAGCTGTTAAAAGTATTTAACGAATCTATAGTAGGTGAATTATGAATCAATCCTTAAAGATATTTAGCTTCCATTTTTTGCCAGTTTTTCCAAGCTTGGGAAACTAGTGAAGAAATGTTGGAATTTTGAAACAGACTGATGCTCACTTAAACAGAATCAGATAGATTAAACCACTGATTAGTGGGCACAATGATACTGATGCTTTAAGCCTACTTCAGTGTGAGGACTAGTTAGATCCTTGATTTAATAAAACATCCAAATATTTGAAATTCAACAATATATTCAGCAATATTGGAATATTTGAAGTTCTTAAACATAGTAATAGTATTGAAAGAAAAAGGGTTGAATTCATTGCTTTGTACTTTGTTTAGTTATATAATATAGCATCCACAACTTCCAGTTATGACTGTAGATGTTATAAAAAAATATAAAATTTTGGTTATTTTGAGGGTCCTCGCGTCTTAGATTTTAGTTTTCATGGTTGGAGGATTAAATTTTAGTAAACAAACTCCAGGATGAAAGTGAGTTTGCGGTTTTTTGTTTACTTGTTATAAAACTCATGTATCTAACACCCAGATATTTAAAAGCGAACACTAGTTTTGCTTTTTTATCTATACTAAAGTTTCTGTAAACATGAAGAACTTGGAAGACAGTGACATACTGCCTATTACAGTTTTTTATATGAAATTTAGCAATAGATTACCTGATGGCAGAGAAGTTATTTTTAAGCTGACATGCTGAAGAATACATGTGCTATGTAATAGCTGTTTATGCTAATAAATGAAGTTTAAAATCTTGCATAGTAATGCATAGTAAATTCAGTTTATGAAAGCTTTTTACTGGGAAGCTCTCAATGTATAGCTCCTGCATGTCATCAAATGTCTCACTACCCAGATTTTCTAAGGTCTTAAATACTAAACATATAATTCATTTGTAAATACTGAATATATAAATCATTTGTATATATTGACAAATGTATTGCTGTCTAGGCTCTCAAGTGTCTTACAGACTTGTTTTCCTTTTTACCTGTGTTTATAATACACCTTTGTGAAATGTGTTGATTAAAAGGGCGTGCAGTGGTGTCTGCTGAAGGAAGAGGAAGTCATTCCCCGTATCAGGGCTATGGAAGGGCGCCGAGGAAGACCACCGAATCCCGACAGACAGCACGCAAGGGAGGAGTCGAGAGCGAGACGACGCAAGGGCCGACCTCCAAATGTTGGTAGCACTGAATTTCTAGACAACACCAATGCAAAGCTGTTAAGAAAGCTACAGGCTCAAGGTAAGAAACACTTTTGCTTTTATAAACCAAGTGTAACAAAATATGTTGAGTTATTAATTTTGCATAGAGGAATAATGTCTTTTGCTAGTATTTGAGCATACAACAATTTTGTTTTTATATGCTTAGCTATGCTATTTTTTTGTTACAAGGTAACTAAATGCATATGTGATTCAAAGGGAGAAAGAAGTGTGAATGCGCATATGCACTCATTTAAGAGCTTTAGCTGTACCTGGAGTTATAAAATTCAAAAATTCAGCCCTTTGACTCACAGCCTGAATTTAAACCTCACAGTTTCGCTTCTACAGCTTTCTGCATCAGTGTGTACATGAACATATTGATGTTCTAATTCACAGTTAATAAAAGTTTCATTAAGATATTCTCACTTAAAATGACAGGATGCTTCAGGAAGTTAGCAATTAGCAAAAGACTGACTGGCTGTAAGTAGTGGAACTACAAAACTGTGTCCCAAATAAGTGTGCTTTTATTGCACTGTTCAAAGTGGGTTAGATAATTAGATACTTGAAATAATTTGTAAGGAAAATAATAAATCCTGCTACTAGATAAAATGTTGATTTTAGTACTGGGATGATTTAGTACCTGGGATGACTGTTTTCTACTTTTAAAAGAAAGAAACAAAGCACTTTTCGAACAAAGCACTGGTTTTAGCTTGAAGCCATGACTTGATAGAGTGCTCTTGTCTTCCAAAAGTTATACATTCTTTTATTTAGCAAATATTAATGTTGATTTGGGGGGGGGTTGATGAGCTACGCATACATACATATATATTATACATACACGCACACACAAGTGTATATATTTGTCATCTCCCTAAAGGTAGTTGGTCGGTACATGTTGTAAAGATTAATATGCATAAAACAAATCCATTGATTTTTCTGTCTCTTCAAAAGCTATAGCTATGATAGCTATATAGCACTGTTTTTATGAACTCAGTATTTGCTTTTTGTAACAGAAATAGCTAGACAAGCAGCACAAATAAAGTTGCTGCGAAAACTCCAGAAGCAAGAACAAGCTCGAGCTGCCAAAGAAGCCAAGAAACAGCAAGGTAGGTAGAGTTTTCTGCATGCCTGCAGATGAGCTTAAACTATTAATATGAATTTGCTTTTCTGCAAAAACTTGATTTTTATTTTTTTTGCTTTACTCATAGCTATTATGGCAGCTGAAGAAAAGCGAAAGCAAAAAGAGCAGATAAAGATAATGAAGCAGCAGGTAAACTTTATGTGTTTCCTAAGGAGACTGTTTAAATTTATTATATTTTGAATTATTCTATTTGAGGTTTTAAAGTTATCTGGTAAGTTATTAGGTGTGCCTATTAAAACAGGAATGTTTTAAATCTTGTTTTAAAGAGTATACAGCATGTATCATTTAAAAGTCTGAACTGCACAGTTGTTGATGTTGTCAGGACATCCCAGTTTTGTCCATGTTGATTTAAATACCAAAACATAGGTAATTGTCTACGAAAAAGAAAAAGAAATGCAGGAACTGCTGCTGCAGGATAGTGATGTGTTCTTGCCTTCCTTGGTTCCATGCAGACAAACAGTGGTGTATCTGTTTGTATGAAGAATTGTGTGCTTGCCTTCTTCAGTGATTCTTGTTGCCTGTCAGCAGAAGATTCACATTGCAAAAGGCTCTGTCCCAGTATGCCAGTGAATTAATGCATGTTTCTGAACCTCCCAATGTTGTTAAATACTGGTATAGCAAATAACTCCAAGAAAAAGGTAGAATGTCCATGTAAAAGCTCTGTTAAATTAAGGTACTTATGGAAGCAAGCTTTTCATTATTTGATAATAAAATGACTATTTTGAAGTTCGAAATACAATTCTGAAGTTTGGATGTGGGAAGAGAGTATTTCAAAGCACATTTCCACAGCACTAAATACACCACATTCTGTTAACTCCCTTTTATGAAATATTTCATGCTTGAAATTCACTGGACCAGGCTGCTCAGAGAGGTTGTGGAGTCTCCTTCTTTGGAGATCTTTAAAACCTGCTTGGATGCAGCCCTGTGCTACATGCTCTGGATGACCCTCGTGTGCAGTGGGGTTGGACTAGATGACCTTTGAGGTCCCTTCCAACCTTAAGCATTCTGTGATTCTATGATTCTGTGAAATATTATGAAATATTTAATGCTAGAGACTGTAGATGAAATCCAAGATATTTAGTTCACTTCATGGATTTTGGAGAGTTAGTTCTGTCTCCTCATCCTTTTTGTATTACTCTCTGATAATGTCACTCTGCACTGTTAAGTAAATCTGTTTCATGCCTGAGATATTTTTAGAAAGGGACTTCTGTTGGAATATTACTCAGGCTTGCTCATAGTTTGCCTGATGTAGACCTCTAAAGAATATTTACATTTAACATCTGGATTCCTTAGAAAAGTAAGAGAACCAAAGCATGACTATGTTTGGTATTTTTAGCTCAGGAGTCAATTAATGACAACAAAATATGCATGACCCTCCCATCATCTTACCATTTAGAAGCATTACTAGAAAGGTGTGCAGACATGAAGAATTGCTTAACTAGTGAATTTATCAAATAAAGACTCCATTTATCATCACTATGTTCCCTCATGGTGAAACAGGGATAAAATTTCCATGCTCCCGATATGTAGATATCTCTCTTTTTCTGCTCTGAATAGTTCTTAACTCTTATTTTTATTAAAAAGCTTGTTCTGCTTTAACTCTAGCCTTTGTAATAATTGGCTGCTAAAAATAGTCATATGATGGCTCAAGCTATAAGCGCCTTTGCAAAACTTTGAGTGCCAGGACTTTCAGGAATATGTCAGACATCTAATGCTAGTAAAAATCTTAAACATTTGTTATATGGAAGTAGTTGTTTTCAACGTGTGTGAGACTCAACGACAGGAAATATGCATATATACTTGCTGTTATTTTATGTTGATATAAAAATAAATTTCTTTTATTGTTTTTTAAAATAACTTTTTTCCCTGGTAGGAAAAAATTAAGCGAATTCAGCAAATCAGAATGGAGAAAGAACTTCGAGCTCAGCAAATTTTAGAGGTAGAAATAATGACTGAAATATAATTTATTTTGTTTTGCCACTTTGAAGAATATTATCTTTTATTAACCAGTTAGAAATATAGTTTAGTATAACATGTCTAACAACATGAATTAAAAATGTTTGTTCAAAAATTTCTGTCTTCAAATATATTCGTTCTTTGAAAGCCAACAGTTTTTAACACCTCACTATATGTCAAAATCCAAGAACATTAATCCATTTATTAACTGGAACTCAAATCATGGAAATTTTTTCATGTGTTTCTAACTTTATATGCAAACAGTTTTATTTGCTGCAAAAGATGCAGTAAAGTTCTTTTAAAAGAAGTTTTCAAGACTATGACAGAACAGTATCTACATTTTATGAATTGCTGTAGATTTGATATACTGAAATTATAGAAGTTAACAACATACTTATTGTTAATATTCTTTAAAGGAAGGTACCAACGAAGCCAATTTAGACCAGCATGATGTAGGTTTTACTCAAAACAAAACTAAACAAAATCTTTCCAGATTACAATTGGTTGCTTCATATTGTAAAATCATGTCATGTCAGCTGGAGGGATTAAAATGAAAGATTCCTGTTTCTCGTTCCCATTTTTTACCTGTCTGACAACAGATTTCTTTTTCATCCGTATTGTCTGTAGTGGATAATGATTGTGGTTCGTTGTTAGGAGTACTTTCACATGGTGTGCTTTCAGAACTTGCAGTAGGAATGCAAAGCTGTTTTGTTTGGGACGTTCTGAAAATTCTGACTTGATATGAAAAAGTAAATGACTGACGATACAACATGCATTGGGAAATAAATCAGTTACAATATACACTTTTTAGGTGATACTGTTTTGCAATTTGTGAGGCATGTAGCTTTATTTCTAGCTGTATTTTCATGCTGTGGCAGCGCTGTTGCATGATTTTGAGACCTGTTTTGCATGCACAGGCAAAAAAGAAAAAGAAGGAAGAAGCAGCAAATGCCAAATTACTGGAGGCTGAAAAAAGAATAAAGGTTAGTTTAGATTAGCTTTTTTCCCCAAGAATAACTACTAGATCAATAAATATTATACATGATAATTTATTCAGTGAAAATAAAATTGCAAATAAATAATGGCATATGAATGTCTATAAGAGTGTGTATATATATGTGTGTGTGTGTGTGTGTATGTGTGTGTATATGTGAATATTTTTCTGCATGCATGCAATAATATTTTATATGCCATTAGCAGTATTTCTGCTTACATCATACTTAGTTTCAGTAACTTTCAATTGAAAAAGAAATTATAGAAATGATAACATTTGTACTTCCAGTGCTTGTTTGGTTGTTCTAGCATAATTTATCATCATTGAACTCCCACCTCAGTAGATGTGCCCTCATAGATACTGTTACTCCTTTACTGTTGATTTATGTAAATAAAGAAGTGAAAAAAAACTGAAAAAGAATTCAGTTTTGTACTGTTTCAGAGTTGCAGAAGTGTGCATGTTGGTAAGAAAGTTTTGTTAGATACTTTAAATATATTTCTGTTCTATTTAAGGAAAAAGAGATGCGAAGGCAACAAGCTGTTCTGCTGAAACACCAGGTTGGTATGCATTCAGTTGCCAGAACAGTGACAGTACTAATTATGAACTAATACTTAAGCTATTTGGGGAAAAAGAAATCTTAAAATGTGTCCTTTTAAATTTTTGGGGATTTGATTTATGCAGTTTTTCTTTCATCTTATGATTTGTTGCTTTGCTTTGGTATTGGGGTCTTTTGGGGAATTATAAAGTGGTTTTATGACTTTGTGATTTCTGTTTCATAATGTTGTGCCAACTCTTTCTACCAGGAGTTGGAGAGGCATAGACTAGATATGGTATGGGTATGTTTATTTTTGTACATCTAACACCGCATTGTGATTTGGTTGTGATATGGTTGTCATAGCAATGCATAAAATGTAGCACTGGCTGCTGTCATATTACATACTGCTGCATGGCTTTACAGCACAGTGCATTGCATACATCTGCTTGTATTGTCTATTAAGGAAAAAAAAAGACATTGTTCAAACATGTATAAATTAAAATATGACAATCTATAAATGAGATCTTTAACTGGAAATCCTCACAAATGATGTCCCAGCATAAATTGGATAACTGTATAGAATCAAAGTTTAAGTAACGAAAAATTAAAGATAGTCATGTGAATATTTTTGAAAATTTTGTCCCATTCAATCCAAAATATTAAAGTATGACTTGAATTGACCTGCTATACAAAAAAGGATTGTATCTTCCCCAAGTTTGTAGATTATTGGGCAGACTAGCTTTCAAATTGTGTTTAGTATGGAATGCTGTAATTAGACAATGAAACATTGAAATCCCAGCCTCACTGAAGTAGATGATAAGTTCCAATAGCCTTTACTGGGGCCAAGATTTACCCTACAGCTTCTAAGGTAGAAAAAAAAAATACTTTGGAATTTCTTTGTAATATATTTTTTACTATTTTTGAAATAATCAATGTAATTTATTAAGGAACAGCATCAGTTAATGCAGATGTCCTTGTGTATGTATATGCACCACTGCCAGTTTGAGTAAAACTGACCTAGAGCTGAGAAAATTCATCATATTAATTTGCTGTTTACTTACAAAAATCTTTGAGTTAGATTTTAAGATACCAATATTTAGAAAAAAAAATTAATGACCAGTTTAAATGTGGTGTTCAATTGGCTATTTATTAAGTAATTTCTAAGTTTCCTAATAGCAGATGTAACGTAACTGACCTGTTCCAGCCAACCATTATGCTTTGTGTTCTGCCAGCTTATGAAGGAGCATCACAATTGACCATAAGTAAATCTGTATGCTTCTGTTTTACACTGTCTCCATGTTCATTGCTTTACTTTTTGCTTTTGATTGTTCTTGTATTTGCTTTCTAAACCTGAACTAAAACATGCACAGACTTGGCCATTCTTGTCCTATATTTAGTATTTACTGTGATCTGTCAATTAATGCTAAACTTAAACTCTTTCTATTGATATGAAAATGTGTATGAGTTTTGTTCTAATCTTATCTGATTCAATAGGAACGAGAGAGGAGAAGACAGCATATGATGCTTATGAAAGCCATGGAAGCACGTAAAAAAGCAGAAGTGAGTATTAACCTGAAGAAAGTATGAAATTTTATTATTTTCATTTGACTAATCTGTAGAAGAGCTATGTCCTTGATTAATCTGTATTTATGAAGAATTGATGTGTCACAAGAAGCCAATAACGGCCTCGTCACTGTCCTTAATATTTCCTAGCAGAGTCCTTAATATTTCCTAGCAAATATTTTCTTTTCCTCTGTTATTTATTAGCATATTTAAAGCCCTAATCATTTTGATTTAAGGTGTAAAAATCAGACTTGCTAAAGAGATTTTTTCTCTGTTGTTATACAGACGTAAAAAAAACACACCTTCAGTCTATGCTTGTTTTCCTCTTAAACAATTTTAATCATTTTTAGAATGACTAATATATTAAAAAAGAGCAATACAACACCAAACTAAAATTTTACAATGGATGGACAGTAATATTTAAAATGTACAAGCTGGTAATTGTTACTATTGAAAAAATTGTCATTTCAAATGAACTACATTTTGTTTTTCTGCAAACTTCTTTTTCCAGGTTAGATGAAGCCTCATAAGTTGTGTACTATTACCTAAAATTTGGGAAAAGAAATTTTCCATTTTTGGAAAAGAAACGTTATATGCTTTTATTTAATCTTTATGGCTTTCTTGGTGCAGGAGGGGATATTTGACTTTGCATTGGTAGAAACATTTTTTTGCATGTGTGCTGATATATTCTGCTTGGTTCTAGAGCTGGACCACTACAAAACCAGGCAGATAGATTTTTTTAAAATCCCGAATAAATATATTATTTCTCCTTCAAATGACAGAAAGAATTACTGGGCTGCAGAAAAGACATATTTTTTCCTAAATACACACACATATGCATACACACATATATACATACACACACACATATACACATATATATCTATACACACACACACACACACACACACACAATTTTTATATATACACACATTCATAAATCTACATATATATGTATACACACTTATTTTTCAAAATTTCAGGCTGTTTCTGATACTCTTTATTTAAATATATTTTTAAATTTCTAAAAATACAGTAATTTTGTAAATGACAGCTGTCTAGTTTGATGAGTGCTCTAGAATTTCTGGCGATGATATATATACATTTTATAAATTTAGCATAGCACAGAAGGACCTTATACCCTATGGTTATTATGACTGAAAATGCTAAATACAACTTACGCACTATTTAACTGGATGTCTGTCAGACAACTCAGTTGCATTGTTTCTTCTAGAGTATTGCAGAATGGAAATTATTTTTACAGCTCAGATACCATTTGCTTATGTATAAAGGAAGTCTGTCTGCTTTACTTGAGAGAAGATAGAAACAGGATAAAACAGTTATGTCATTGTAGTTTTAGAAAATCCTCCTTCTCACTCTGAGTGACTTCATGGACTTTTTTTGAGAGATCGCAATTTCTTTTGGCCAGCAACTTCTTTGAATAGAAGCACACACAGCCCTCCTCACCCTTCAAAACATTCTGGAGATCTTTGGTTGTGGCTGGAAGCTACTAGGTGGTTGTTATTTTAAAATGGGACCTCAGATTTTACGTCAAGATGTGAAACAAGTCTATTGATCAAAGGCTTGGGCTGTACCTGTGGCCATACAGATAGGAAGATAGTTGGTTAAGCCATTTTATTTATTCTTGTCTTTCTTTACTCTGCTCTTCAGTGTAGCTTTTAGACTTCTCACATGACCTTATAATGTAATCAGTTATTTAAACAGCACCTTTGGTGCACATACCTTAACCGTTGTGTTAATTATTAAGATTACATAAGTAGTGCTTTTCAGATCCTTTGGTTGTTCCACTCTAATGCATAGGTTTATTTTTCTGGTGTTTTTATTCTATTTAAGGAAAAAGAACGGTTAAAGCAAGAGAAACGTGATGAAAAGAGATTAAATAAAGAGCGTAAATTGGAACAGCGAAGATTGGAATTAGAAATGGCGAAGGAGCTAAAGAAACCTAATGAAGATATGTGCTTAGCTGACCAGAAGGTAATCATAACAACATACATTTATTTTCCTGCCTCACGTCTTTGTCTTTTGCGTTTATGACAATAATTAATTCTTTGTGCAGCCACTCCCAAAACATTCAAGTTTCGGTCTAGTTAACTGTATTTGAACTGTCCTGTTAGAAATACAGAATAATGCAAATTCTGTTATATAGGTTTAGGTACCTAAGGACATTTTATTTAAGTTGCCTGCTTCTGAAAACACACTGGCATGATTACTTAAAAACAGAGTAGTCTGAATTTTTATTACTGGAAGTGTGACTACTGTAAACTGTTGTTACTCCAAAAAATTAGACTTCTAGGCTTGTGCATTCTTCGCCGCTATGTTTGCTTCATGATTTGCAGATCTTGGGTTCAAGTCCTCTCTTTACCAGAGAATTCCCCTCCCCATGCCCCCTGAATATTTTTCACAATATCTTTATAGTACTTTGGCTCAGAATCGAGAGCCTCTCCTGGACAAAAGAATTAAGTATGTAATAGTTTCTACAGCATGTGAATGTAAATTGTATGTACTACCTGGGATATGTGAGATAGCTTTTCCAGCTGCCTTCACTTCCTAATGATGACGTGCTCCAGGTTATACAAAGCAGTATCAGCAAATTCCTTCCTTACAATCAGGAATGTCCCTCTTTGAAAAATCCTGCTGAGTATTCCTTGTTTCTTTCTGACTTCACAGCCTTTGCCAGAGCTGCCCCGCATCCCAGGCCTCGTTCTCTCTGGAAGCACATTTTCAGATTGTCTCATGGTTGTGCAATTCTTGCGCAACTTCGGTAAAGTTCTTGGCTTTGATGTGAATGTGGATGTCCCGTCTCTGAGCACTCTTCAGGAGGGTTTGTTAAACATAGGGGACAGCATGGGAGAAGTACAAGACTTGCTTGTAAAGCTTGTGTCTGCAGCTGTTTGTGATCCAGGACTTGTTACTGGATACAAGGTAAAAAATAGAAGGAATAGAAAGAAGTCTTAAATAGTGAAAAACTGCATTTATGAATACATACTTCATAGTACCCCTTTGACGTTTCTCTGATGAATTACTTTCCTTTCCTAATCCTTTTTGGTGTCACTGTTTTGATATTTTTGAAGACTTCTTGTTGGTTTTGTTTGCTTTTGCTATCTCCAACTCTCATTTTCCGTGACTGGTGTATTTCTGGACTTTTTTTTTTTTTTTTTTTTTTTTTTTTTTTTTTTTTTTTTTTCCTTTTGATTCTCATTGTCATGTCACCCTCATCCGCGCTCTCTTATTTATCAAAATTCTGAATCACATCACGATTCTTTTTCTTACTCTCATCTGGTCTCAAGCCAACGTAGTTCTTTTATACTCGAGACCTGTACGTAGCATACATTGTGTGAAGTGGTATTCATGAAGTTGACCAGGTCTTTTTTTCAATTAATCTATTTTCTTAATATTAATATTACCTCTGGTCTTAAAAACTTGGAGAGGTGAAGACATCCTACTTTGTGGGTCTATTCAAGACTTAAAACTGAACATTTAAAAAAAAATCCTGAATGAAGTTCTAATGTAAAAAATAAAATGAACTCTGCCACTCTTTTATATGCAGTAATGCAGTCTTAAGTGAAAATATTTTTTTAACGTGATTGATTTTCTGAAACCCTTTACTTTTTCTTAGGTCAAAACTATTCTTGGGGAGCACTTACTTAATGTTGGCATCAATCGAGATAATGTGTCTGAGATCTTGCAGATATTTATGGAGGCTCACTGTGGGCAAACTGAGCTTACGGAGAGCTTGAAGACAAAAGCTTTTCAGGCCCATACTCCAGCTCAGAAAGCATCAGTGTTTGCTTTCCTTGTCAATGAATTAGCATGCAGTAAAAGCGTAGTAAGGTAAGGTTTTTTGTCAAATGTTTAGTGTAAAAGGAAGAATATAAAAACATTATGTTTAGCAAAACACTGTATGTATTGTTTTTTGTTATAGTAAGTTTCTTGATGCTCTTATAGTGAAAGTAGAAGTTGCCATTTGTTATTGCTTCTTGTTTTATTTCTGATATGATGTAAGAGTAGAAATTTTCCATATCTGGTTTGTAACTTTGCTTTTAAAACTTGCAGCAAAATTCCTCTGGCTATTTTGAGAGCAAAAATGATGTTGATTACCAATAAAATTGCTAGATTTTCAGGGGAAACAGGAGTTGGATAAAGGTTCTGCAATACCCTGTTTTCCCTTTCATTTTTCTTTCAGACATCCTTTGGACAAATACTTTATGTAGATCACAAGTTGATGGCAAGCCTGATTATATTCTAGTTCAAGGAAGTGTAGGCTTCATTTGTTGTCAGTAATAAGCATTTACAAATTAAGCTACATTAAAATAACATCTAAAAATGCAGTAGTAAACGGTCATGAGTTAGGAAACACTGACCTTGGGATATAGCTCCCTGTATTTTTTCTACCATGGAAAAGTCTTTCATGACCTGATTGAGTACTGTTTTGTTGCTCAGGTGAATTCTGACTTTTCTGGTACAGTGTGCTTCAAAAGTTAATCAGAATAGATAACAATAGAAGAATGAAGGAGACTGTGTAATGTGAAGATCGCCTACTCTTTTTTTTTTTTTTCCCTCAAAGTCAGCAGATAACAAAGAGAAGCAGGCAAAGGATTGCAGCAAGAGGTAGACTGAAATGGATTCAGTTTGTGCTCTTCATGAGTATTAGCAGATGTATACTCAGAATCATCACAGTAAGGAACAGTGTCCTTTACTGCAGGTGTCCAAGTGCAAATTCAGATTTATTGAAAAGATCATTCACAACTGAAACACTAATGCTCTGTTTTCCTATACCGAAGCACTTCTTTGTGCTTCAGTTTCTACACTGGAAAATTGACCTTTTTTGTGGATCTTGTGGATCACAGGTGTTCTATGATGATTTTGTTTTCAGTGTAGGCTTGGATACTTCTTAACGTACTTCTGGAAAGTATGACTGGAATCTCAGCATTCTATGGAAAAAATGAAAAGAAATTTCTGATTCTTTGTCATACCTCTAATGGAGCGAAATTTTATGTGATGATGTAATTAAAGACTGTTTCATAGTACATACGCAGCAGAATGCTATTGGAACTTCACAGCTTTAAAATGATTTATTGTGCTTTTTAGATAGTTACAGATAGTCAGGATAGTTATTTGATATATGGAAAGTACATGTATGTTGTATGTATGTGTATTTCAGATAAAGATAGGTAAATTCACAGTTAATGGTGATTTCTTGAATTACCTTGGATTATTTTGTCTTTGACAGTGAAATTGATAAAAACATTGATTATATGTCAAACTTAAGGAGAGATAAATGGATGGTTGAAGGCAAACTTCGGAAGTAAGTTTTTTTTCCTTAACTATAAAAATATATTGCTTTTTTGCATTTGCTAAAATATACTGCTGCATAGGCAATTGTTCTAAAAACAAAACCAACTCATTCAATTACAGGTTTACCAAGAAGTCAGTAAAAGCACTGCTTAATTAAAAGGGGATATGAATTTAGAATGGCCGAGTGCCCTTTTTTACAGTAAAACTAATAAAGATGCATGAGATTCAGAAGATGCAGTTTTCATACAGCATACCCATAAAATTTTGTCAATTTATTTGAAAACTGTATTATGCTATATTGTGTTTCCAGTCTGCCTATGTTGTATTGTTCCCTGAAGTTAGGGATCATATGTAGAAGGTAGACACTGAGATTTTACATTTTTTATTTAAGGTAAAAATTGGAAACTTTTAAAGGGTTGTCAGCCCTGTTTTTCCATCCTACAAGACAAAATTCCATACAGCAAGCAAAAAAGCTCTGGGATGCTAGAAGGCAATAAAGTTCATGAATCACAGGGGGTAAAAATGCATAGCCAGACTCCTTTTTTATTGTTTTTATTTTGTTGTAGTCGTTCTTTACCTCTTACCAGTCAGCACCGAGTCCTTTCTTAGTCCTTGCTTCAGTGTTTGTTTCTAATATTATTTCTCCCTTTTTTTCCCTTTAATATATCTCAGAAGGAAGAAGGAAGAAGTAAAGAAGAAGAGCAAGAGGGGAGGTAGTGGTACTTAGACCAGTAAAAAGGAACTCTGCTAATACTAGATATACTTCAACCCTGTGCAGACTGGTATTTTGTCCTTTATGCAATCCAAAGACTTTCTCTTACCTAAATGTCTGCCACCAAAGCTTTTCCCCTCTATGGGATGCATTTAAAACAGAATGGCTAAATTTTTAATGTACTCAACTATCCTTTAATAAAATGGGACTCTTAGCTGTTCTTGTCTACTTGGGAACTGTTTAGTCTTCTCTCTGTCCGTCAGATTGTAAATACTTGTAGAGGGCGGATCCTTTCTTTTCTCCCCGTTCATCCAGTGAGTAATACCCTGATGACCCAAGCCCTTCTTCCTTTCCGCAGTCCTTTCCTGAAATTTCCCCTTGGGTGAATTCCAGGTTCCAGTAGCCCTGTCCCTGTTTTCATGCCTCAGTATTGTGAGAATGATCCAACACTTTCTGCTTCTTTTTAAGTCACTGGACTTCACTCATATCATCCATTGCCCAAAATCTTCAGATATTCCGCTGTTTTTCTCTGATGTATTCATTCTCTCTCTCTCTCTCTCTCTCTCTCTCTCTCTCTCTCTCTCTCTCTCTCTCTGAGTGTTCATTGATTGGTCTTAAAAAATATTCTGTATTTTATCAGCTGGTACACTTTCATAAATCTAGTAACTGTTCTGGAGCTTCTCTGAAAAGAAATTTACTCATTAAAATCTCCTGTTTAGTCTTCTTTCTGCTTCTAGACTTTGTCCTTATGCATAGTATCTTCCCCATCCATTCCAAAGCCCAGGCTAGTTTTAAAGCCCTCCAAATCCCAAAAAGGTTTGTAGATGAGTATCTCATTGCTTGACTACTTGCCATGTGGTCAGGCAAGAGACGTACACTCTTTACATGCAAAACAGCTTTTACAAAACCCTCAAAACACAAATCCATAGAAGCATGGGAAGTTTATATGAGTAAAATAAAGGAACCTGAGGAATAGGCTTATTTCAGCTCTGCCCTGTTTACCATACTATGTATTTTTTGTGGTAAATATTCATACCACCATGTCTGAACTGTGTGGAAGTATATGTTAAATAGAACATGATTCAGAAAGGGAATTTCCACCCATGGATTATATTCTCTGTGTGCGTTCCCATTGCTTGTGATACTGACAGCTTGAATAGGGACACTGGAAAAAAAAATGTAGGCTGTGTTTGTAAGGTTTAAAAAGCAGCCTTAGAATCAATCCCAGGCTGGAAAAAAACAATTGTTGCATTACAGTTTCTAAGAAGACTTTCTTTGTGTGCTTAACATATATAAAAAAATTCCTTGATAGGTGTATATTTATGGTCTGAAACTGGATTTTGAGCTGCTTGCACTACTACTTCTCGTGGTTTGATGGTCAGTGAGAGGTTGCATTTAATTCTTACTCTGACATTGTTTGTACATCTTGATGCTAACTACCATTTCTGTAAAGGCAGCCATCTCATCAGATCAATTCATCTTTCTTTGTGCATTCTGTATCACAATAGTTGTCACAAGACTGTCTTGCCTGGGATGATTCAGCTGTTTTTGTTACTGGATACCAGTACTGGATACTGGATTTCAGCTTCTCTTCTTCCATTACAAGTCTTCTCTTTGACATCTTTTTTATAGCTTGAGTAGCGTAATGGAACAAAAACAAAATGTAGCTACTTCTTTGCAAAGTCTTGAAATGCTGCAGAATAAGATTTTCACTGCAAGATAGTTCTTTTCAATGTGCCATTATTATGGCACCCTCTTTGTAAGTTTATTGGATAACTGCCCCCTTCCAACCATTTCAGCTGTCTTAAGTGATAATGTAAGTAAAGGACATTGTTATGTCATCTGAATTGCACCTCGAGTTGGAAATTCTGATTGCGAATCCTTTCTTCTTTTTTCCGAGGCCCAAGCTGAAGTATGTACAAATGGCCAGCGATTTAAAATTTCGTCTCTATAGGCCAGTAAACTTTATAATGTCCACAATAGTTAGAGTAGTCCCTCTGGTATGTACCAGAAAACTAGGAAGATGAAACAGTTTTCTGAGTGAAAACTGTCTCCTCTCTAAAGGAGCCATACATCCACTGGCAGCAGCAGGAAAACTCTGCCACCTTTTGACATACTGAAGCATTTGCTACGTTGTACTCTCGTCAGGTTCTGCCTCTGCACAGCATTGGATGTAGATGGCTGATTATGAAACTATCAGAGAGCATCTTTGATTCTTTTCCCTTGTCATCTGTCATTCAGGCATCCTGTGGTGCTACCAGCAGTGTGTTGCTGTATTTAATTTTAGCAAAAGACTTTTTTGCTTGTCCTCCTTTCCCTCAGGAGTTGTGGTTGCTTGTTGTTGCTCCTCCACTTGCTAGCCTTTGACCGAGTTGTCTGTCCAGCCACAGAGCGATCAGTCCAAACTTGGAGCAGTAGCTTTGCTCAAGTGTTGATTGCTGTGTGCAGGCAGGAATTTCCAGCCCAGGTTATGAGGATTTGATGATACAGAATTATCCCAGTCAAAAGGATAACTTCAAACAGACAAAAGCCTCAACTCGAAGCTTCATTAGTATGGATGGTAAAAGAGACAAAGGCTTTTTGTACAAGAGCGTAAAAAAAAAAAAAAAACACCCTCTTTCCAAATCACTAAAAGGCTTCAGAAGATATATTTAAGTATCTTAATTAGCTATTAAAAAAGTGTTTCTATTGGAAAAACAGAACTGTAAAACTTTCTAAATTCTCTGCTACATTAAAAATATCCTTTTAAAGCAAACAAAAGCCCCCTTGATGATTTCCTGCTAAGTCTTTTCAAAAAGTACTGCCACCAGTTCAGCAGCAACCGCTTCATTTCTGCCTGTGCCTCTGAGCCCTGGCTCGTACCACCAGCGTTTCGGGAGGCTGGAGCATTTGTCAGCGTTCCTTTGGCAAGAGCTCGGTACTTCCACAACACTCATTGTGTGAGTAGCCACTTGCTGTATGGAATATTGTTTTGTAGGATGGGAAGAGACAGAAGTACGACAGGGGGAAATTACATACTAGTAATTGTGTTTGTCGTGACCGTTCTGCTTTTCCCATTCTACCCTCTTCCAGCCATCTCTTACAAAATCTTTGTCTTTTCTGCACGTGCATATGAATCTCTTCTAAGGCCGTTGCGTTTTTCATCTGCATTATACGTGACTGGTTAGGCCTGGCTATCTATACCTCCTGTGATTCAGCATGTTTGCCTGCTAGCTTCCTGATAGGTGGAACGATAATATTTGCTGTGTGGAATCTTGTCTTATAGGATTTTTGTAGAAGAAGAAGGTCTACAACAACCATAATTACTGGTATGTAAGTTTCCTTTTTCTTTCATAAAAGGAAAAAAAGAGATTGAGTAACTCCTGGAGTTGTGTATTCCTGGTACTTTGGGCAGTTAAGATTTCACTGAAGAGAAGGTTTGTCCTAGAAAGAAAAGATCAGTCAAAACGCTAAAAACACATAAAAACCTGTAATTCACATTTTAAGCTAACCTTGCTGTTGGCCATGCAGTTGCAAAATTTCTGTGCTCAAAGTAAGGATTTCTGCTTTCTTGTGGGGTTTGTTTTGTTTTTTGACAGGTATTTTATGACAGAATTTTTAAATATATGTGTGAATCAAGAGGTTATTCAATATAAAAAGATGTTAAAATGGTTCTGTTCTCTAGTCAGCTGTCCTAACTTTTCAAAACTTACGTTGTGTTAACATTTCCTTTAAACAGTTATGCTGTAAAGCTCACCCAGGAGAGATGGAAATTCTGTGCAGAACTGAATAAGCATTTTAAAGCTTCTCTTATTAACCTGATTTTTTCTTGTTGTTTAATAGCAATAAAGAGATAACAGAATGTCAGTATAGAACAAAACAGCTAATTTGACTCTGAAATTACTTTCAATCACATATGAAGACAGATATGTTAAGATACTCTATAATTTCAGCTCCTTATCATGTGTTTAAAGGCTTAGAATCATTCATGCCAAGCGAACGGGCAAAAGAGATGCTACAGGAGGTGGTGACGTTGGGGAGGAACAGCACTGCTTGGAAACACCAACGCAGGGGCGCAAACGCAGACGAAAGGGTGACAGTGATTACGATGACGATGATGATGATGATAGTGATGACCAGGCAGATGAAGATGATGAGGATGAAGAGGACAAAGAGGATAAAAAGGGAAAGAAGACAGAAGTCTGTGAGGATGAGGTGGGGAATTTTTACAGTCAGCTTCATTCTACTTAAAGCCTCTGTTATTTCTGCTACGTGCATCATGGCACCGTTCTTTATGTTTCTCTGCATTACGGCACCATTTTCCCAAACCTTGTTTCCAATAACAAGGAAGAAAAAATAGTTTATCTCCAGTATTTTGAGAATTTTTAAATTATTTTTTCTTCCTGTGCTTTTTTAAATTTAATTTGTATAGGTTTTTATTTTCCCCCCTTTGGATTAGTCTTATATTTTCCGAAATTCTGAAAGAGTGTGCCAGATTCAGGGAGACCCAGCTTTTCTATCAAATGAGCTAATTGCGTTTATTTCTTAGTGGAGTGTAGAGGTCATTTATTAAATAACAAAATAGTAAAGAAGTTTAAAATTTTATGAAATGTCTATTATAAAGTTTGCCTGTGTCCTTACTGTTTTTTTCTTCACAGTTTTTCCAAACTAGGGACTATGAGAGAAAATACATTTCTATTTTCCAGTGACCGATTATGATACATATAGCTAGTCAATATCACATAAAATATAGAGGATTGTTAAAAACTTTTTAGTCTCTTAATCTGAATCGTTTCTACTACAGCCAAGATGAATTTTTGGTATAAGGGCCTATAGGTCTTACTGTAGAAAGTCTAAGTGTTCTCAAGTGAATGAAACAAGAGCCAAAGAATACCAAATACTGAATTTCAGCCTTGACTGTTTCAGTCACTACCAGGAAACATCTGTCGGTGTTAGTGTACTGAACAAAGGAGGAAGGCTTTTAGGGGATGTATCTCACATGAGGTGTGCACCCAAATCTTTGCAAATGTTTAAATAGAAACCAGACAGGCTCTAGGGTGGGAATAGTTCTTTTTGCCACCTCTTCTGGATTCATTTCATGTAGAGTTTAACATGCATGATGAGTACTCCAGATTTATAACACCAAGTTTTTGCAGATGAATACTTAAGAAGAAAAGTATATTAATTTCATATATTCCCATAATCTTTTTCCCATACAAGCAACTCTTGTTTTCATGCAATGGTAATCTCACAGAGAAAAGTCTTCTGAAGAAAAAGATTTAATGCTTCCTCTTCATTTTCTAGCATATCAAAAGTTGTATAAATGCAATGGAACCATTTATGCTCTATGTGATATTTCAGAAATCTGCACTCTGGTATGTTTTTACCCAACTGTGAAGTTGGTAGCCCAGAGCAGTGAGGGTTTTGATTGTATTCTCTGGAAGCTTTCTGATATTCCCAACAACTTTATTGAAATAATTAAAACTCTTGAAATGAAAAACTCGTATTTTTAACCATGTCAAGAAGAAAGGAGCCGTAGGCTTTAGCCGTGAGTGTGTTCTTCAGGAATCATTAATATAAATACCAGGACTCCTACAGCAGATCTGTTGCTTAAAGTGCCTCTGCGCTTTCTTTCAAACATCAGAATAAGATGGAAGTGCAAAGACTGATCAATAAGATTGTGACCAATCCTCTTTTTAATAAATGAAAAATGCTTAGAGACAATCTTTAGTAACTCCAAACCACATAGAAACTATGAAATTACAGTTTTAAGTTTCACCTGCAAGTTTATCTCAGGTAACAGAATGCTTTCAGATAAATGAGCTGTTTGCCATCTGCTGCCCTACATATGCATGTGATATGTATGGGATGCTATGGAAAGATTCAAGACATGTTTGTTTGTTTGTTTCTGGTTATGTTGATCCTAGTCAAACATGTTCAAGAAACACAATATTTCAACTTTTTAACTCTTAGACATATGTATGGGATGTTTGCTTATATATGTGAATTTTATGACAATATATTTGGTGATTATAGGATGATGGAGATCAGACAGCAAGTGTTGAAGAACTAGAGAAACAGATTGAAAAATTGACCAAGGTGAGAGATTTCTATCTGCTTTTAGTTATAACACACATTTGACTGAGTTTGAATGTTATCTGTTGTTTTCCATCTCTCTCTTAAGAGAAACTGAAATTAAGGTGGGCTTACATTTCATGAAATGATGTTAATGTTTGTGACATTTAAATTGTTAGTTGTTTTTTGCCGTAGTGGATTTGATTTAAAATACAACTGGAAAGATGTTGATAATACTTGAACACATCTCTGTAACAAAATGTGATATAATCCTTATTATCCGGACTAATTGTTACACTTCTGTTTGTTGATCTTAGAAAGTAGCAATTAAACTTCATGTATGAGAAGCAGTAGGATTGTTACAGTGCAAATATGATTGCAGTGGCCTCTTCCCTTCTACAGTCGGCTCATTTCTTGGCTTCATATTTTAAAAGGAGAAACAGGATGTAATAGTAAGAAAAACAATAGATAAGAAGGAAAGAATGGTGTAGCTTGGGCTACTGCATGATCCATATTTTTATTAACTAGATTAATCTGTGCATTAGAAAATTCATAGTTTCAGACTTTCTCTGCTGGTTTTTCTTTACTCCATACTGAAAGAAATCAGTCAAGAATGCTACTCAGCTTCCAACAGTGTCAGTTTAGCATTAAAAAGAAAATGTCTTTAAGACTTTTCTCAGAGAACTATTTATATTTGAATACCAGCTTCAGTGTCAGACATTACTGTTCTCATCTTTTTCTGAACTCGCTGAAATATCTCATTAGCTTCCCCTCAGAAGCTGCAGTATCCAGAAGATATCAGAAGCAGAAGTATCCAGGAAGCAGCTCCACTGCTGTCTGTACTGTTTGTTACTCTCTGAGAATCAGACAAGTCCTACCATTGCAAAATGCATCCTCAAAGCAAAGCTGATAAACTGAAGCTCTTGATAAAGGAACTTTCTCATGTGATCTTCCAGCTTCTGTTCATTTTGATACCAAGGAGATATTCACTGTATAATGACTTTTTTCTTTTTTTTTTTTCCCCCCCCTGTTCAATTATAATGCTTTTTCTCTTTTAAAACAGCAACAAAGCCAGTACAGAAAGAAGTTATTTGAAGCTTCACACTGTTTACGTTCAATGATGTTTGGTCAAGACCGTTACAGGCGTCGATACTGGATTCTGCCCCAGTGTGGTGGTGTTTTTGTAGAAGGCATGGAAAGTGGTGAAGGTAAGAAACACGGAGGAGCAGTGTCACACCAGGGCATACTGCCAGCTCCTGCTGGGTACAATTTCATGATTTCTCTTTGGAAATTAGCATCAATGTTTGGCAAGTTTTACATTATTATATTTCCTTATGTTATGCTTTTTCACCTTTGTTTATAGATACTGTTTTTTTCACTTTTCTGAGCCATTTTCTCTATGGCAGTAAATTCTGCATATGGAAAGTGAGATGACAAAAGTAAACATGAAAATACATTGCTTTCCATCTTTTTCACAGAATATTCTGTGCTTGAAAATTAGATACGTGTCTGAAACCAAAAGTCAGTTATTTTTCTAACAGTGAAGTACTGCGTTTTCTCCTCAGTACTATTGTTTAGTCTTCATATTTTCTGCACTGATCATTCTTTCAACCAAGCTGATGTTACCTTTGTTAATTATATAGTTTCCTGGTTGTGAAGTTTACATACTGCCTGTGGTTGAATTTTCTCACACTTGATTGGATTGAGGCAGAGAACCTGTACAATCTGATTATCTGTGGATACTAGAATTTTTAAAAATGAACCTGCATTGTAGTCACAGACAAATTTTTTCTGATTCTGTTTTGGATGAAACTGAAACCAAAACTCATTACTGTTGTAAGATGGATTTTTTTTGTTTAACCAAAAATAGCAAAAATCTCCCTGAAATACGTGATATCAAGAGAACTGCATTATTCCAATGAAATATTTAATTAAAATAATGAAGATGTAACAGCAGTATGAGAAATCTGAGCTTTGTTATGGCTTCAAAACTTAAGCCATGTAACTTGCCCCAAATGTAATCCTGATCTTTAGGTTACCTTTCTGTAATGGGTAGCCTGAAAGAACTGGGTTTTCTTTGTGTCTCCTGTCCTACATTTATTTTATGATCTATGTTCAAATCTGTTTTGTTCACGAGTACCTGGACAGATAATGTAAATTGTCGGATACTATAGTGCTTGTATACTTATTGTGTACTATATATTAAAATGTATTTAGTTGATTTAAGGAAATGAATTCCCAAATGCTTCAGAAGTTATACACAGTAAACCACAGAAACACGGCTACTTGTCTGAAGTTGCTTAATAAACATACATAAAATTTTTAGCCATCGCCTTGAAGACAAACTCTTATTTTTTTATAAATATAGCCTTAGTGAAAATTTCATCTCCTTGAACTGCAACGTGCACATGCTTTTGAGCTCTGAACTACTCCCCTCTTCCCATAGTTTGCCCAGGTAGTCTAGGAGCATTTCTCATTCCTTTATCAAAGCATTTGAAACATGAAACAAACTTTAAAATGATCCATCCACTTATAAAATAATCCTCCATCGCTCCTAGTGCAGTTAGTTTTGTTATTATGGTGACATTCAGATTGTTTATACCTCAAAATACAGCATAGGTAAATGCACAGTTCTCACTGTGGAGATGCTGCTTTCTTTAATGAATTATATCTGCAGAAAATACATTTTTTCCAGAAAGAAAAGTGATCTTTTTATGGTTCTTTTAGCCATAAATCGCAAACAAAACCCTTATGTATTTGCAACTGTAGTATATGACGTAAAGAAATAAGTAATATTGGATGTTCTACCCCCTCTCCCTTTTTATGCAATTTTCCACATCTCTTTTGCATTTTTTTAAAGACTGCCAGGTAAGTCAACATATCACACTAAAGGTAGGAGAGAGAGTTGAAGAAAAATCAGCAGAGTATAGAAAAGTAATTTTCATAACAGATAGGTCTTTAACATCACAATTTTCTGAAGAAAGAATTCATTTGCTATGAATTGTTTTGGTGTTGCACATTGCTTTAGACATTACACTTTTCAAATCACATCTCTCTGCTTATCTGTCTGTACAGTCCCAGTGACCATGTTGCATAGGCTCTTAAGCCGTCTAGAATTTTGAATTTTAAGATTCATAGTCTAAATTTGCTAATGACTTTCACTGAAAAAAAGAAACATTTTTAATGTTAGGATTTAAAGTTTGAGACATATAGGATTTCACATATATTTTATATAATTAAAGTGATTACATCATTTTATTATAAAGTGATCAAATGATCAAAATTAGTTGGTCTGTGTATTTCATTTACTGCTTTATATTTTGTAGGTCTAGAAGAAATTGCAAAAGAAAAAGAGAAGTTTAAAAAAGCAGAAAGCATGCATATCAAGGAAGAGATATTTGAGAACTCAGAAGATAAATTACACTGTTCAAATCCAACTCACTGTGAGCAAAAAGATATGAAGGAAAAGGACAACACTAATTTATTTTTACAAAAGCCTGGGTCTTTTTCAAAACTAAGCAAATTGTTAGAGGTCGCAAAAATGCCACCTGAATCTGACGTTATGTCCCCAAAATCTAATGGCAGTGCAGCAAATGGCTGCACATTATCTTATCAAAGCAACTCCAAAAACTCGCTCTGCAGCCTTCAGCCCGCTGTTTCACAGAGCAGCACTGACAAGGCTGATTCCAACAATCTGTTCAGTCCTACGGTAAGCGGGCCTGGGAAGTTCTACACTTCTCCACTAGCTCCAAGTGATCAGCTGTTAAAGACACTCACTGAAAAGAGCAGACAGTGGTTCAGCCTGTTGCCAAGAGTCCCCTGTGACGATACGTCAGTCACTCAGACGGACACACCAGTCACAACCTCCCTGACCCCTCAGTCACATCCGCCATCAAAGTCGCCCTCACCGGTTCCCTCGCCTCTTCTGGGATCAACCTCTGCACAAAGTCAAATGGGATTAAGTCCGTTTGCTTTGTCACCACTCCAGGTAAGTAAACACTTACATTCTGAATAGCCTGAATTTGCTGTGCTTGTTCGGGCAGAACTCTTGTTGAACCCTGCTATAATTACATCTTTGCTTCTTTTCTCTCTCTCTCTCTCTCTCTCTCTCTCTCTCTCTCTCTCTCTCTCTCTCTCTCTCTCTCTCTCTCCTTTTTTTTTTTTTCTTTTGGATGTTAATAAACACTTTTGTCTTTTATGATACCGGAAACTTTTTTATTGTAAGGTGGGTAAAATCCAAAGTAATTGGTGTTTGATATTTTGTTTGTGCATTTGATATTTTGATAGGCCTTATAGGGGTTGATCTCTGTTATTAAATGATAAATAAATAAAAACAAATTTTCAGAAATCTAATCTCTTCAAATTTTTTTTAAGCATTCACTGGGCCCTAATAAGGATTATTACATGTTTGTCTTTGATCAGTTTATTAGTAATCAAAGGCAAGGCCTGAATAAGGGCCTCCTTTACGTCTTTTAAAAAAGGAATCCCAATCAGGTGGTACTCAACTAGTAATAGTAGTTGTGACCATTAAAAATACTCTTATTGTAGCAGATGAAGACTGGATTACCTGTCATGGGACTTCAGTTCTGTGGATGGCCTACAGGAGTTCTTACTTCAAATGCTCCATTTTCATCTCCCTTGCCTACTCTTGGATCAGGTTTGGGATTGTCAGAAGTGAATGGTAATTCATTCTTGGTACCTAGCATTTCTACAAGTAAAAGCGAATCACCAGCACTACAAACTGAAAAAACAGCTTCTGCTCCTTCTGCAGCAGTTGAAGTATCCAAGCCGGTAGATTATCCTAACCCAAAACCCATACCAGAAGGTAAGTATGAGACACCAATAAACCAGAACTGTTGTATAATTTGCTGCAATGCCACTGTACTGTTCCAGTTTATTTTTCCATTATTTGTCTAAATCATTTTCTAATCTGATTATGATCGCATTAGAAGTGTCTGTAAGGAATTGACATGCCTGTCTTGATTTAGAAATGCAGTATGGATGGTGGAGAATTACTGATCCTGAGGACCTAAAGTCTTTAAGTAAAGTGCTGCATCTCAGGGGAATAAGAGAAAAGTCCTTACAAAAGCAAATACAGAAACACATGGATTATATTACTCTGGCCTGCATCAAAAATAAGGATGGTATGTAACTGGTATTTTTGTTATGTGTGGTTGCTGGGCACTGGCATAGATGGGTCTGAGATACATTGATGTGCAGGGTTAGAATCTCAGCCAGAGAGAAAAGGTAAGGTTTTTGCTCTCTGTAAGACTGTCTTTTCACCAGCCTCATACTGGAAAGCTGCAGGGCTGGAAAAGTCCCCTGTATAATAAAAATTTCTCTAGAGGCCTGACTAAATTTTGATAACCTTTTCAAACTCTTTCTGTCTCTGTAACACTATGGTTCAGCCTTCCCTTCCTCTTCCTGCCTTTAAATTGCACAGAAGTTAGTAATCATATTGATATCTTACATAAGAATTCTTCAAGACTTTATGGGATTAACAGGTAAATCAGCTTGAATTTACTCAGAGACGTTGTAATACTAATTAAAATAATAAAATATGATTCTCAAATACAGTTGCAATTATTGATATAAATGAAAATGAAGATAACCAGGTAACTCGAGATGTTGTTGAAAACTGGTCAGTAGAAGAACAAGCAATGGAGATGGATCTTGCTATTCTTCAGCAGGTGGAAGATCTAGAGAGGAGAGTTGCATCAGCTAGTTTGCAAGTTAAGGTAAAACCAACTTTAAGTAAAATCTCTCTTTGAAATGACATTACTAAACTGGTGAGAATCGAAACAAGATAGTAGCAATTCTTTTGCTGTCAATAAGTGCCTTCTCATTCATCTCTCATCATCTGCAAATAAAAACAATTCCACTGCAGTAGGATCACAGATACTTGTATTCCCAGACATAAAAGGAACAGTAGAAAAGCTTTATTTGATTTCAATCAAATCACTGGATAAAGTAGATTCTCAGAGCGGCAGACCTGGAAGAATGTTCCTGTGTAGCATCCAACACCATGCATGTTTTACCCTTTTTAAATGAAAAGATTTCACTGCATACAGGGAACTTAGTTATAACGTTTTGTGCTGCAGTTCTCTGTTTTTAGTTTCTGCTGCCATTCGTTCTTTTACAAAAGCCTTTGTGCTCATCATACTTCCTTGCTTGATTATTGTAGAATCATGGAGAAAATGTGATGGTTGTGAGCATGAAAGAATGATGAAATTAATGCCTATCAGCAAAACCTGAGGTTTTCCCAAGATGAATGTAGATCAGCTCGTGTGTGCTTGTTTATAGCACAGGTGCAGTATTTGGGCTGTAGTGTGTCCTAGATGTGGATGCTATTTCTGCATGATTGACACAGTCTCCTGAAGTCGGGGATCCAGTCCCAGCCAACCTGGAAGACAGACAGATCTAATGTTTTGACTGATAGAACAGGATGCCTCAGAAGGAGATACGAAAGTAGAGTGTTCCATATGTCCTTTCAGAATGTCTGGTAATGCTTTGATTAATTATTTTACTTCTCTGGATATTTTTGAAAGCGTATCTACAGAAGGATTTACAAATAACTAAGACATACTGGAAACAGCGCTCGAGTTATTTAGTGTGATTCCATTAAACAGTTCCTCTGTTTACCCGTGGAGTAAGTTAACAGCAACCAATACATTTGCAAACGTTTCTATTAACGTAGGGCTGGCTGTGTCCTGAACCTGCATCGGAGAGAGAAGACTTGGTATATTGTGAACATAAATCAATTAGTAGATTGCACAAGAAGCACGATGGAGATTGTGCTGGAGGCGGAGAAAGCAGTACCAGCGCTCTAGAGCGGAAGAGTGACAACCCTCTAGATATAGCTGTAACCAGACTTGCTGACTTGGAGCGGAACATAGAGAGAAGGTATCTGAAGAGCCCCTTAAGTACCACCATTCAGATCAAACTGGATAATGTGGGCACAGTTACTGTCCCTGCTCCTGCACCATCCATTAGTGGTGATGGTGACGGGTAGGTTATTGAGATTAACTTGAAAAATTATTGTGCTTCTTTGCTAATTGGAGCCTATTTTCTATTGCCTGTGATTTATGTACCTTCTTGTATGTCTGTGATCCATATGGATCATGTTATTCTGCATGGTGCTTTGTAAAAATATTTTTTGTTATGTTTGTTGATAATCTTGCAAAGTTATCTTACATTTAACTGGTTGTGACTAAGCTTTGAGGCACGTAGCCACAGTCTGTGCACTACATCAAATTTAGTTGCTTAAGCCTTATACTTATTGGCTGTGTACGTTTTGTCATTGCTTGGCTTTCAATGTGATAATGACTGTTCCACGTTTAAACATCATCAAACACGGATGTGACCTACTTAATTTCTCTATATTTCAATGCAGAAGTGAAGAGGATATTGCTCCAGGGCTAAGGGTATGGAGAAGGGCACTGTCAGAAGCGCGCAGTGCTGCACAGGTAGCTCTGTGCATTCAGCAATTACAGAAATCAATAGCATGGGAAAAATCTATTATGAAAGTTGTAAGTGTTTTTCATTTAAAACATACTGTAAATTAATTTCCTGTATTCTACTTCCCCAGCTTAAGCATTTTAAAGATACCATGATTAACATTTTTTTTCTACTACTGTCTGTGAAACTTAATACAGTTAAGTTATATTTTATGCGTAGGTGACTATAATGGAAAAGATTATCCCCTTCTTGCCAAATTCAGTATCATAAAGTTTCTAAGATGATAAGGCCTTGTAATTGGCTGTTTTATTTAAGATTGTAATTAAGAGTTAGGAATGAGAGAGACATTTCTGACACCATCTGATGGAAGACACTCTGTCTGAAGGAGAATTTTTGATCTCATCCGTGACATAAGCTTTATGGAAATTCAGCATTGCATATTCTAATTAAGGACTTCATTTTTCAGAAAGTTGAGATGCTCCAAATGTGTGTGGCTTCTTTGCATGCCCACTTACCCAAAACTGCACATGCCAACTGGGCAAGTGTATGAGCAAATAGGCTGAAATATTTGTTTTCTTGTACACATGTCCACTTAACAAATACATTTGTGTTAACTGCATATACAAAGAAGGCATGCAAAATGCATGTGTCAACATTTGCATGGTCTTTTGAACCTCAAATTTCTGAAAATACAAGCTGTAATACTGCTATAATAATGATAGGAAGAACTTTCGTAATTAAAACAATATGTAAAGGTCTTTCTATTAACTGTTGTTAAAATTGACTTCAAATTGCTTTACGATCAATCATCCTTATGATGTGATTTGGCACTGCCAGTGTTACGTGGTGGTGCTGGCAAAAGTGATTTTTTTAGTTACTGCTTTTTCCCCTAATCTTGTAATGTCTGCCTATTCTGTATACAGAAAAAAAAAATATATACACACACACACACACCCTTTATATAGAGATAGATAGATAGATAGATATACAGGTAAAGGATAAATAAAGGATAGTTTAGATAAAAGCTGTATATTGAGGCTGTGTCTTTAGAACAAAGGGTTTATAAATTTAGTAGAAGCAGCTGAAAGGGCATGTAAATGTAGTTTGTAAGATGTAATTTAGTATCCGAAGAAAAAGCATACAATTCACAAATTGCCTGAAATGCTTTATGCATTGAAATACACGGTGTACATGAGTCTATTGAAAACGTGGAGATCTTTACGTTCCTGAAAAAGAAGTCCAGATATAGAAGAATATCAAAATAACGGAGTGTAAGAAAATTGACTCTACATTTGATATTTTTAGGATAGTATGAGATTTAGGACATGCAAGGATCATACTTGGTCTGTAATAGTGAATTTTCTGTTGTACTTTGGATAACGTCCTTATTGATTATTATATGAAACACTGTGGTAATTTAAAATACAAATTATTCTCAGGAGTTAACATAATAAAAAAGAGAAGACAGATTTGAGGCAACTGTACCAACAGACCTTACTGGTGCTGAATCACATTGACAGCATTTCTTTTTCTGCCGCCTTTTTTAATAGTGGCTTTAAAAATTGCCTTTTCTGGTTCAATTCAGTGTTTATAACTATGTGCAAACTTACAAACACAGTACTTTGCAAATTCTTTTCGGGGCACTGAAACTAGCTATTTTGAAATGCTTTAAATGAAAAACTGCCATCACTAACTGTAGGAAACTTGCAACAACACATAAGAGCAGTTCTAATCCATGTTGTTCGTTGTACACTGACAATGAATGTTATCTTATTTACCAAAAGCACTGAGAATAACTATAGAGGCTTTTTTGAATCATAAAAGCTATAAATTTGGCAGTGCTATGCTACAGAGAAAGTAACTTCCAGAGCAAGGGTAATTTCTGAGGTCAGTGGTCCTATGAATTAAATCCTGAGTGCAGACATTTTTAAACATTTGTGCTTTCTGACATAAATGAGGAAAACTCCCCTAAGATAATATGTGTACTCTGATTGATTTGGGCAGTGAGACACACTTTCTCCTCTTGCAGAAAACAATCCAATATAACAGGCATTCATATTTTCTGTACTGTAGGACACCAGTCTTACAATCTGTTTTTTTTACAAATGTGTTGATATTTAGCCCTTAGATTAGTTCCTCACTTATTGCATGTATTCTGTTACAGATGTGATAACTGCTAGACTGATGATGAGAAAAATGAAAGAAAAATAGTCTTCAAAGTTAATGTGTATTTAGAGAGCAAGTGTATTACTACATACATAAAATTATGTACAATTGTTTCAAAATTGATCTAAAGCAGTTTTTCATGTATTATACAGTACTGCCAAATCTGTCGAAAGGGAGATAATGAAGAACTGTTGCTGCTTTGTGATGGTTGTGATAAAGGCTGTCATACATACTGCCACAGGCCCAAGATTACTACTATTCCCGATGGTGACTGGTTTTGTCCTGCATGCATAGCAAAGGTAATACTAGTCATGAAGGTGAAGTTACATATATTGACCTGTTTGTACATTATAGAGTTCGACATTGCCCAACACTTTTTGAAGCAAAAAAGATCTGTATGTTTATGCTGGACTGCCATTAAATACATGATTTGTAGTATTTTTGGCTTTTTGTTTGTTAGTAACTTGGACTCTTATGGTAAGCAGAAGCTACAATTTAGTTTGCATTCAGCATATTTTTAAAGTAAGTAGAGAATTAACTTGCTGATTCAGTATTGTAACTCGGTTTTTCTCCCTTTAGCAATACTTTTCCACATTAATCTTTAGACTTTCAAGTTCTAAATGTTATTTTAGTTCTAAATGTTGACAGGCCAATGCTTTAAGAAGTGTTTGAAAGAAATACAGGGAAAAAGCAGCATTAGCATCATTCTTTTCATTCTGTACAGCATATTTTATTGTTGCCTTTTTATATAAATCCCAGTATGTTTGAGAGAAAGAAAATGTATGTCTCCTGCTGCTCAAAATCATTTTCAGTTGAGATATTTATATAATCAGTGTTCCTGACTTTTTCCTGGGTAGTTTTATAATTCCCAAATAATAGCTTTCTATTTGTTTCTTTCAGTACTTTGTTCCAAACTGTAAACTGACATTGCTGCCAGGAACTCTTACTGTTTTCATCTTAAGTATACCCTTTCTTAGTTTAATTTCGTTGTTAATATATACCTTTTTATTAGATTATATGTATTTCCTCTTTTCCATTTTGTTTTATATCTTCTTTAAATTTTCATACTCCTTTTATGTTCTCCTGTACTTATCTTGAAATCAACGTATTTGTATGTTTCATATCTTTTAATTTCTAATAATCCCTCTGCATCCCTGATTTTAAAAAAAATAAAAAATTTTCCATACATTGGAAGTAATATGGTTGTTAGTAATATGGTTGAATGTAATATTCCATCCGTGGTTATATAGGTCTTTCGTCTTTAGACAGCTAAAATTAAACCAGCCTGTTTCATTCTGAGGTTTCATCTATTTGAAAGTCAAGATGCTTGTATACAGTGACGAAGTTGGAATCTAAATCACTTATCATGTGCATATTTACAGTCTTGCTTCCTTTTAGAGAACAATAGGAAGTAAATAATCTCAGTTATTAAATATCTCAAGTGTTTTGGTGCTTCCATTTCTCTGATCTTCATTGGTTTTATGCTGTGTATCAATCATACGGAGGTGCTGTAATTTCTTCGTTATTGCTTATTTCAGTTCTCTTTATTGTAGGCAAGTGGTCAAACTCTAAAGATAAAAAAACTTCAAATCAAAGGGAAAAAAAGTAGCGAACAAAAGAGAGGCAGGAAATTATCTTTAGTGGGAGATGCAGAGGATGAAGATTCTGCAACTACAAGTGGCTCCTTAAAAAGAATAAAAAATGATGCTAAGAAAAGAAAAATGGAGGAGAATGTCTCTGCAAGTCAACTAAAGCAAGAAAATTACACTCCTATTAAGAAACCTAAAAGAGATGACTCCAAGGACTTGGCTATTTGCAGGTATGATCTGTTTGTAAAGTAACAGATTCTGAACTTGGGTAAGCCTTCCTGAAACAAGTAATGCCTAGTAATTCTTGTCTGTGTTCTGGGGGAAGAGAGGTCTTAAGAAAGCTATTCCTTGTCATGTGTTCTCACATTCCCTATCACATATTCACACAGCAGTTCATGATAATTTCACTGTACATACTAAGGATTTAACACTGGTGTGTGATGAAAGTATTTGGCACTGGAGCACAAGGGGCAGTGTTTGTGAACAGCATGTCCTCTGTGCAACCTGCCGTTCTCCATGGACTTCCACAAGTTGGAACACCCTGAGATACAGGAGCCAACAGCTTTCTAAATGCCACAAAACTGATTATCCGCCATGTCCAAAAGACATTACTGCATCACAGAGGAAAAGACAGTAAGAGAAATGTATCTTCTATGGCTGCTTTCCCGATGACACAGTTTAACATGTTCACTGTTTTTGAGAACCCAGTATTAGCACCCCTTTTACTAGTTTCCAAATGTATGGTATTGAGGATCAATGTATTGAAGATACACAAGTGCTTTTTGTTTTCCTTTTAAAATGTTAAAATATTAACTAAAATTTCATTTTTGAAATAGGTTGCTTGAAGTAAACTAAACGCTATTTTGAATGCTTAGTTAAGATGTATTGACATTGCTTTGTGCAAATTATTTTGAGGTTTGCACAGGATACAGAAGAAAGTACTGATCCTTTATAAAGTGAAGAGATGGATAGTAACAGGGTGAATTTGTGTAACAGGAACAACCTTTGTAAATATGTGAATAGCTGAAAAATACTGATTTAAAATCTTATTTTATTCAGCATGATCCTCTCAGAATTGGAAACTCATGAAGATGCATGGCCTTTCTTACTTCCTGTAAACTTGAAACTTGTTCCTGGTTATAAGAAAGTAATTAAAAAACCTATGGACTTTTCCACCATTAGAGACAAGCTAAGTAGTGGACAGTAAGTAAACCTATTGTAATTTTTTAATATACATTTATTTTTTAAAACATTAAAGCAATAAGCAATCATTTAAAATTATGTATTTCAACTTGAAATTCAGTATGTTCATTTAACTAGTTAAAAGATATTTTGGTCTTCTGCATGCTCTGGCACTTGATTAATAACTTATGGTCAGAACAATAATTCATAATTATATATATATATATATATTCACCATATCTAAGTAAAAGAGCAGATCAGGTTGGACCTGTGGAACTGACTGACTTACACTGAAAAATAATAAAACTTCTAGGTCAAATGTACAAAAAGAAAAGTAAAATCTTTTTTTCCTTATTTTTACATTGAAGTATCCTAGCGTGGTCACGTGAAGTTAAAACTGTGTGTATGGACTTAAGGCTTATGGAGTCCCTTTAAGTGAAGTTGCAGCTATGGAGTAAATTAGCACTCCTTCTGTAGGAAACTAGAAAACATTCCAATAATGGGAGATTAACTGTTTTATACTCCTAGAATTAGATCTCACAGCTTCTTAAAAGGAAAACAAAAAATATACATTTTATGTGAGGATTCCGTCTTTTGTAATTTGCTTCCTCACTTCCCTGTTATTATCCCTGTATTCTGATGGCTCCTCACCAAAGAAAATGTTGTCATCCATTTAAAAAAAAAAGACAGAAAAAGGCTCTCTTGCGCTTCTGTAAGTTCCAGCCAAGCTACTTTCCTAGGATGATACTAAGGAGTTTTCCATTCCCTGAGGCTTTTTTTCCCATTAAATTGATACATAAATGCTGCACATATGCCCATTACTCCTGTAAATGTGTGCCTTTTGCTGGCTTTTTAAAAGTTGATATGAATATTTGATCACTATTTGGGACTTCTATATTAAGGAGAAGAGATTGTCAAAGAAAATGTTACAGAATTGATCAGGGCAACCTTCTATATATATCTGATTGTTCCACTTGGCCATAAATGTGAGTGTACCCAACACTCACCAAAAGGACTATTTGAAAGGCCTTTCAAAGATGAATAAATGGAATTTGACCATTTTAATTAGAAAACCTTTGACAGGGGAAAATTATTTTTAAAGTAGTTTGTTTTTCAGTACAGTATTTGAAATTCTTGCTTACAAAGGTTTTGATGCAAATAGAGTAATGAGAGATTATTACTTACATCAATGTTCATTTTCTTGAAAATCTTTTAAAAGCTCAAAAGTGTAATAAAGCTGCAGAGCATTCATTGAATATTCTGTGGTTAGTAATGAATTCACTATTGTTTCTAGAGTTCTTTCTGTTGTTTTCCTCCTTTGCCTCCCAGTTTGTCAAAAAACTTTCACTTTTTTTCTTCTTTCAGGTACCCTAATCTTGAAGCATTTTCGTTAGATGTCAGGCTTGTTTTTGACAACTGTGAAACCTTTAATGAAGATGATTCTGACATAGGCAGGGCTGGCCACAACATGAGGAAATATTTTGAAAAAAAATGGACAGAGATTTTCAAAGCAAGCTGAAGTTATCAGAATCCTTTTTTTTCCCTTAAATGAGGACTGATGAGACCAGCAATGTGAACTGAATTTACATAAAAGTGCAAGTCACATGCATAACTAATGACTGTTTTTTTTTTCTTAAAAAATATCACAGAAGAGTGACACTGTTTCTAAAAGCTTCACTCTTATAGCAACCATGGCCCCTTGGTTATTGGTTTCTGTGTTTTATCAAACTAATATAGGTAGAACAGGGAAGTACACCCAAAGAATTTCAAAGAAAGGGGTGTTATAGTGCAATAGCAATTTAAAATATATCAAAACGCACTGAATATACAACCACCAGAGCTCTACTCGGGGAAATGGTTCTCTTTTCCCTTTCAATAAATATCTATTTTTCATTTTTTTACTTTGTAGTTTATTTTTTAGTGAATGTATTTAATTTTATGAATTATTTATGATTATACAGCATCCAGAATCTTCGTTTTCTGTGAAAAGGAAGAATTAGAAAATTGCTTTAAATCTTGAAAATACAACAAGGAATGTTTTAAAATATAAAACAAAGCCAAGTAAAACTGTTTACACTGATGTGCTGCGAAGGCACTAAAAATTAAACTTTACTGTAGAGTTACAAGTACATTTATATATTTGTTGCTGCATCACTTGTGTAGTTAAATTGTATTTCAAGACAGTGAAGAAAAATCGAGACATATGTATATAATGTTCATTATTGTTTATATTAAGTCTTGTTTTAAATATGTATGATGTGTACATATGGTTTGCAGACATTATTGTTTCTGCCTTAGGAGGACAGTAGCATTTTATTTCAGTCTTAAGGTTATTATAGCTGTATGGCTTGTACAGTAATTATCCTCTACCAACACTGTGGAGTCTCCTTAATCTTGGTAGTGCCTGCCTTTAAAACAGGGTGTAGGGGATATTAGTTTTCCATTTTTCTATTTTGTTATATAATTTCAAGCCACCACAGCCTCAAATTCAAGTATAATCATTTGTATTCACGTGGAATAAAATTGTGACAATTTCTTACGCACACAGTATTTTTTCATAGAAACATTTCCCTTCATTTGCCTTCCACAGAAATAACAACAAAAAAAGACATTTGTAATCACTGTGTTTTATCTACTGTGTGTTGTGGTGGCCTGTTGGGGCAGATAGTGGTGGGTTTTTTTTTTTTCTTTTTTTTTTTTT